AATTAGACGTTTGTGATGTCAAAATATTAAGTATATAGCTTCTTAAGAATTAGGAACTCAAATTACCAATATTCACATGCTAGAATATAAGATAAGAATGTCTTATCTTTTCTATTTGCTAAGACATTGCTCATGTAATAAATCAAACACAGTGGCACCTGCCCACCTCTTTCCATTTTTGGAAATTCTCCCTTATATACACTTACTTCTATATATGACATGAATAACCAATCAGAAGCTCATAATGTCCTCCTAGTGGCTTTCTTAGCCATTTTAAATTCTTAGGATGACATTTATTTCTTTTGAACCAATATTTCAAGGAGGTAGGGCGTGTCTATAGTCTGATTGAAATTTCATATTTTTTTAGACTAATATATCTTAGTTACTAAGCTTGATAAATTATAGTGGAATTCTATGGTATCAATATATAGTAATTTATGATTTTTTAGTTTTTCAAATGTACATATAAAATCTAAATTATTTTGTTTCATATCCTCTATGTGCAAAATTTTTAAAGGCTTAGCAACCTACGTCAAGCAGCAACTGAGTACAATGGTCATAACTAGAAGAGATAATTGTTTGCTTTACTTCTTTATTTACTGTTCTATGTTTTAAGAAAAATAAGTATAAGAAATTATTTCAAAATAGCAATAATCTATATACATATATAATGTATAATAATTGATATTTTACTGTATTTTACAAAATACTAGTCTAACAAAACAGCCAAGACAAGTCACTTTGTAAAAACTAAGTCAGTTTTATAATATTTGATAATATGTGAGAGCACGTGTGCTGCATCATTGTAACTTCTGTATTGTTAGCCAGACACGGCTGAAAGGTAAATATAATAAAAATAATAAATATGTATAAATGTATAATGTTGAGTTTTAAGCTATTAAGTACAAAAATTATGTTTTTGTGTTATAATTTGTAGTCATTTTAGAATGAAAGAGGCATAATTTATATTTATTGCCTAATTTTTTATGGTAGTTACAAGATCGGTCAAATCTACTGAACCTGTACAGAGATTAATTAGTGAAAATAACAGATAAAATATATAGATTTTTCTTAAGAAATGTTTGATAACTATCTGGACATTATTAAGATTTCACATGTGAAATTTGAAAATTTTATGATGCATAAAAGTATTTTTAATCTTAAAATGAAAATGATTTTGCATGTTAGATAGGCAACATGCAAAAAGAAAAAAAAGGTATGAGAAAAAAACATTGCTTTACAAACCTTAAGACTTAATAAAAAAAATTTTGCATATGAAAGCATTGTAATGTGCCAAATTTCATCAACATTCGCTTACTAATCTAAAAATTATAGCATGAAAACTATAACAAGCACAAAATGGTTATGAGGTCGGTCCCAGGGATCGAGCCCGTGCTGAAAGAGTTAAATGTGTGAATAAACAACATGCATTTTTTAAAAATATAAAAATAAGATTACTGTTTTATATAACGTTTTAAAACTACATGTGAAAGTATTATTTCACTTATCTATATATGATATTTAAAATAAAAGGTTTTAAATAAAATATAAAATAATAGTTATTGTGGTTTCATCCACACTTTATGCAAATTATTACTATCAAAGGTTTGAACCTTCATTTTGTAATGTGTTCAAATTGTAGAAGTCAAAATCAGCCCTTCATTACAGCTTTATAGTTTTTAAGTACAATTTCCAAAAAAATTAAAATATTTTACAATGGATTAAATGAAACTGCTTTGAACTTCAATCTCGAACAATAATGGAAATAATAACTGACATGAATGAAAAAAAAATCCATTATCTATATAGCGAAACCATTTTCCATACATATATAACATATATTTGCTGTCAGTTAATTTTCTGTACATAATTCAACTAATAAATATAAAGGCTTTTATAATTAGAGTTCTTTTTAATATTTCAAACAGTTATTGCTTTAATAACACAGTAGATACAATATTTATAACCTCCCTAATTAATGACCTTTTTATTTCTACTTCTTTTCACCAACAGAATAATTTCCAACATTACATTTATTTTCTCATTCCTGATTGAATGACTAAGTAAAAATTTCAGCACTTATAAAAACTGAAAAATGCAGGGTTAAATATGATAATGATATTTTAATTCTTAAACTGGTTGTTTTGTTTATTACTTTTCAGAAACAAAAAAAAAGCATTTACCTTTTCCACATTATACTCTTCTTCCACGACATCAGGTGATATTGGCCAGGAGTCTGGCAGAGGAAGTAACTGAAAAGTTATCACACACTTAATAATCACAAAGATGCTCAAAAATGAAAAGTAAAGCTTTTATACATTACACAAAATATATTCAAACAGATAAAAAATTGCAGATGTTTGATTTTGACAACGATAATACATTAGAATCTCAGGGAATGAAAATGAGGACAAAAACAAATTAGTTTTACTGATTCTCCAAACATAAAAAAGTAATATTTGGTATTATTTATAAAAGATTGGTTTGAATGAAATTAAGATATAGTTCTTATACACAAAAGCACAATTACCCTTTGGGGTGCATCTTGTTCTGACACCAGCCATTGTAGATCTGATGCTTTGGGAAGTTGTTGTTCAGAGAACTTTTTGAGGAGACACAAAGCTACAGTTTCTGCTGACACATGGGAGCCTGAGGTTTCCAAGACAGAGCTCACATTTGATCTAAATCAAAATAAAATAGATTATAGCTTATAATTGCATGACATTCATGTTAGCATACTTTTAAAAAGTAAAAGTAAAACAATACAAACAACTAACTATAGCTGTAATATTCATGTACAATACCAACATATTATATAAACAAACAGTATGATAACATTAATACAAACAGTGAATATACGTTTTAAAAATTGCAGTTATAACTAAGAAGATAATTATAAAAATAGTTCGTACATCTTTACATACATTTGTTTTTGTCAAAGTTACTTACAGGCATAGTGAGCACAATTAGTCAACAGCAATATTTCTGTGAACACTGAGATTAAACTAGTTAAAGTTCTAATGGAAGAAACCTCAGTCAAGTGGATAACACACTAAACTTCCATCATGGATACCCAGGTTCTAATTCCGGCCACTGTCAACACAAATATAGTCTTTCTAGTATTTAGCTAAAGATTACAGCAATTAGTAGATGAAATGTACGAAATAAAATAGTTAGTAATTAGTATCTAGTTATAAGAAAATATTAGTTACTAATTAATAATTACACTTCATTCATCATTTAGATAATAATTGATATTTGATTGCCACAAATTTCTGCAAGTACTTAAGTGGCCAATCAGTGATTGTAAGTTTAATGTGTAAAATACAATCATATTATTGGATTGAACAATGTTATCCAATACCTGACCCACCTCAGGCAACTATGTCTGGATACAAAGGCCAAAAGATGTGATAGTATGCCATCTATTTCCAAATAACAGAGCCCACTGAGGCACAAAAACACTGCAAATGTGGTGCTATAGCAATGATTGGAGCTTCACAGCATACTTTACAGAAAAGTTGCAAATGTTGGAGGTTCCTCAAACTCTGTGTAAAAACTCTGAACTGGAAAACTGTGGTAAGCTCCTGTGCAAAGCTAAAGTAACTGATGATGCACGTGGGTCCAACATCTTCAATGCAAAGTTCCTGGATTAGGTAAAGATCAGAGTCCCATAATCCAGCTTAGATTAAATGAGAGTGTAATAGACTGAGCATAAAACACTTATTCACTTCCAAAGAGAATGCAGAGTATGTTCAGTGTACTTGTAAATTTGATTTTAAGCTGCTTGATTGCTTAATGTGAGGAATGAAAGTTAACTTACTGTTAAATAAAACTCCAAATAACGTAGTCTCAATCACCATAGGAATATAAGCACCTTCTAAGATGAAGTTTGGGATCAGGGTGCAATCCATTTTGGCAGCATAAATGCATGCAAACAGATTTAGATGACAAATATTTAAAACCATTTGCAGTGGTCCATTCATAATTTATTGAAGGCAGTTTGAAGCTCTTGCTCAATATACTTCATATTTGACAACTGACAGGAAATCTGAATGTTATCAATACAGAAGCTTTATGCAACCATTAAATGAAATTGTTCAGTGATCTTTATGCTAAAAAAGTGGGATACTCAAGACAAAGCAATGAGGTACTTAAGAGTTTCTGTGTGAAAAATGAGGATAGAATTGATCCCAAATAGATTTAGAATGACCTCTCTTCTAAATAAAAGTATGTATAAAAATGGGTAAATGGCCATGCAACCTATATGAATAGATGTCCTTTAAAATACACAGATACAGAACTTCTATGTGGTATTATAGCCTTCTTAAGATCAAAAAAAGATTGGTTAAGAAAGAATTCCCTGACTGATGTTCCAAGTTGAATTGAGTAGTTCATGTTAGATAACTGTCTATAGATATTATGCATATTTTTATATAGAGCCCAGAGTATCCCTAAGAAGAAAGCATCTGGGATGTTTATACTTTTGGCTCCTATTTGTATTTTAGATGATCAACTTCCATGAGCAGTACAACACCACCTGATGGTTGCAAATGAAAACGTGAGGGAAAGAACATACAACAGTCTTGCATGGGCTGAGGGCTGAATGGAACAAACTCAGTTGTTCTGGAGTTCTACAAACAGGCAAATAAATGGGAGTAGAGGTTGACTTCTCCACTGGAGAGTCCATGGATGAAGACAGATTCTTCACATTGAACATAAAGAAGTAGTGGAATATACAGCAGAAGTAAAACTGTTTCAGAACTGGTGAAATCAGTTTACATGTCTCACCATAAGTGATGTTACAGAGTGTCCTAAGACATTTCCTTTCTTTCTCCATATTCAACATTGGACAAGATCTGGCATAAGAGGAGTGTGAGCCCTGCCAGTTACCACAGCAAGGCTCAGATATATATATATATATATATAGAGAGAGTACTATTGTGTTCCTTACCATTACACTATGCAGAAGAACCATAAAAAGAGGTCTTTAAATAATCAAATTGCTGGCAGATGAAATATCCAAGTAGATTTGGAATATATGGCCAACACAGGACAATTCAAGTACCTCACCTTAACAGCGAGAGGTAGGAGAAGAGAAGCAAAGATAAGAATAGGAAGCCTAGTCATCTCATACTTCCCATTCTTGTGAAGAAAAATCTGTCTGACAGCCATAACTCCCTGATCTTTTAATCTCAGAGAGAATATCCTTATCTAGGATATTGAAAAGATTGGCCAAGGCAATCACTCCCCTGGAGGTGTTCAGGGTGTTATAAGCAGGGACCTCTATAAGAATTCCCCCAAGAGGCTTAGACAACAAAACAGCTCACTGTTCTATGGTCAAAATGTTTGAACAAATAACCTACCTAATCAGTTTTTTTAACCAAATGAGGGGGAGCCAGCAATCCCCTCTAATTCTTTTTTGGATAAAAAAAAAAAGCATTTTACCTAAGTAGTGAATAATGAGAAAGTAACAATTGGTATAGTAAAAGAAGCAAAGTCATCAGTACACGGTCATTTTAAAGTAGCTGTAATAAAAAAAAAGAGAAAATATGAAATATGCTGCCCAATGACCACATCCATAATGAAGTCCTACAAAAGCTCAACAAACTGAGAACAGTGCAGCAATGCACTATACTTGTTTACCACTACCATATATAATGTCAAAAACTCCTAGTGAAGACATCTAATACTGGCACTTGGTTGACCCTACCCACAATTAACCAGCCAAATGATCCTAATGAGGGCACCCCAGAGCTTCCTATCTACAGGAATTCAAAGCCAAAGTGTAGTGTTGCAGTGATTCATAGATGCATTCCAGGCATTACTCAACTACTAACTTCCCCCCTTTATGAGTCACCATGCACAGGAAACACTAGGGTGGATGTTTGGATCCCAGACATGGTAAACTGTACATGAAGATGCTTCCAGAGAGGTCCCCTTGCCACATACAAGAACTCATATCAAGGGGTTTCTCCTAGTACAAGTAAAACTACAGATCAAATTCATTTGTGTATATAAATTCAAATCCAAGCACTGCAACTTGCATATGTTTCCAGTGGTTTATTTCTAAATTTAAGTTTGTTGTGTTTGCTGTATTATTTAATTCTGAATGAAATACCACTTATATTTATAAGTCAACAGTGAATTGTACAATTTCTGCCATTTCAGGTTTTTGAGAATAACTTTGCAGATGAAATTTATGAAATTATTATTTAAAAGGCTTAGCCTTAGGTATATTTTTTTTTACAGCAAAAAATAAAAAAAGGAGAAGCTTAGAGAAATATTTTTCTCCCACATCAGTTTATACTCTACTGTCTTAGATATTCTTCACAGATACTATAGTATATATACAATAATTTTCTATACCACTAAAAGCAAAAGTAATTTGTGTGTGTGAGATAAGATTTTATTGCTTTGCTACAGTTGTTCTAATGCTCATTGAGTGCCAGTAGAATTATCAATATACTATATTTACCTGTAATCAGTCACAATCAAGCATGGATTAAAAAACCTGTGTTGAAATATTTTTTACTAAAATATCTGCAAAGCAAGTATAATTTACTCTTAATTCAGCATTACATTCAATGGTACTTACAAATAAAAAAACAGTATTTCTGTCACAGAAAGTAGAACTAAAATAGCATGTAATTAATACCATTTCTAAATGGCATTCTGACAAATCCAGTTGTACTTGATACCCACTTTAGAACTGAAGTAAATGCTGTGTAATTATTTAATTTGACCTTTTCTTGAAATATTTGAAAATTCTGGTGGCTAAGTAATAATTAGTTCAGATATACCTTAGAAGGTCATTGTTACCTAACTGAACCTCCCTCTAATCTTATTACCGAATATATTAAATGGTTTAATAAACTTCAACGTTTGTGTGAAAAACTGCTTTCATAGCGACTACTTCTACTGATTAAGCAACTTTGTTACACAGTAAATTGCACATGAATTTCATAAGTTCTTTAGATATTCACCTATTCATTATATTTTAATTAACTATGTATGCTTTTTCATTCAAAATTACATTTCAATTTCTGTGTTATTACTCAACACATACTATCGTTGAAAATTGTCTGTAATTGTGTATCTATTTTTAGAATTACCTTTTTGATGGTTCTTCAAGGGAAAAAAACTTTTCTTCTTCAACAATTGATGACACACGTTTAATATCAGCATCTGTCATGTTTTAAAATGAAAGTGGTAATATATTTATTATTCAATCATAAGGGAGCATATTTCAAGCATCAAGAAAGGTTCTGCAGCCTCACTTTCAAACACAATAGTTTTTACTATAAATGGTTAATTACAAAAATAATTTTGAGGCACTTGTTTATTGATAACACGAACAACCATAATTTCCTTGCTTCTATAATCATCAATATTTGATCAGTTGTTCTTGAAACCTAACAAACTTAATTTCAAAACAAACAGGAATTTAAATATCATAGAGAAATAGCACACTTTACAAAGTTTAATAAACAGAAAAAACATGGCATAAAATTCCTGTAAAAGTAAAAGATATTTTACAAAAGATGAGGTGATGCAAATAAAGTATTTTCTCTTCTAAATTTTAAAAACTTAAGAACATTTCAAAGAATCATAGGCATTTATCAAAAGTTACTGAAAAAGTATTTTCAATACCGGTATTAACACTTTTCTCTAAGTTACCATTTATACTAGTCTTCTTGTCAGATTTACTAACTACCACTTTCACATTCTTTCTCTCTCTTATTTACAATGCATTATAAATTCCTTCTTTTGTAATTACCAACAGTAATATAAATACTTCACCAACTACATTACATTCTTGCTCTATTTTTCCAACCAATACTACAAAATTCTACAAAGAACTTCTTTCCTTGTTATCAACAATGCTACAGATGTCTTCACTTTCTTGTTAACAACCTAAGTTACGAATGTTATAATTTTCTAAAATCAAAAATGTATTTCCAATAACACTTACCAAATCTCACACTTATAGCTATTACTTTACTGCCAGGGTTTCTTCTTTTGCCAATCTAAGCATTGGCATGATTTTTCTTGCTTGCTCCAGTCATTTATACCCCACTTAATTGCTCTTGGCAATATCTGTCTCATGACATTCTCCACCTACGTCAAAGTGCCCCTATTCTAGTACTGTACATGAGCATCTCATTCAGATAACGTTATCACTTTTTTGAGACTGACTCAATTCCAGTCTCTAATGTCAGCTTTTATTGGGGCAGAAGGGTGGGAGAGTGTGAAAGGAGGTAAGTATTATTGGAAATACATTTTTGATTTTAGAAAATGCCAACTTCCTAAACATATTTACCTCTCCTCACACTAATAGTTAGAATCCCACATTAATAAGGTGGAGAGACCAGTGAAGGCATTATACATACAGAAAGTATCTGCATGGATCATGGATGTTTCAATAGATGATTGACAACCTAGTGGGGGAACTGCACTACATCCAGAATAGGTATGCTCTTGTGGATGGAATTTTACATGATCTATCATCTCTATAGGCTAAGTCCCAACCATAGGTTTCACTGCTCGGGGATAGAATTATATGGCCATTTTCCTGATATCCCACATTGATGGCTAAGGCAATTGAAGTGATATTTATATATATATGTGTGTGTGTGTGTGTATATCAAGAACTCATCCAGTCTGAAATTATGAACACTCATCCTCACTCCCCAACAGTGTGGGCAAGGTAAATTCTACTTGCCCCCAGAATTATGGGGAGGACGTGGTACAAACTGTGCTCAACCAAGAACCCAGGTTAGTACTGCTGTGCATTCGGAATTACGAGAAGACAATAAACCCTTTTCCATAAACAGTGTACTGAACCAATATTGACCAAAAGGAAGGGCCACGCTCAATCCAACTGGATAGCCGAGCATCAAATCTGAACCGATATTACAGGTTCTTGCATAGGCTGTTGTCTCTTTTACCAACATCTGGTAGAAAACATCCAGAGACCTGGGTAGTAGGGCCCCCAACTTCACCCTCTTCTCCAAAAGTGGAGGAAATTTGCTCTAACACTCAAAGAGCCAGGTCAAAAAATGAGTTATGGTGGAAAATTCTGATTGGAGTGGGTTCAACCTCCTCTCAATACACCATTGCTGAAATGTGTGCCAATTCCATTGAGAAATGTCCATTGTGGGACTAAGCAAAAAACTGAGACAGATACATGGCAACCTTAGAAACTAAACCTTGTTGCCATGCAAAAGACTGAATAACCTCTATGCCTGAAGCTTGAGCTGTCTCCACAGAGATGGCCTAAGAAGAAGTGGACACTCCTGAAGGTACTGCAGAAGCAGAAACCAGGGTGTTGCTGCCAATCCGGTGCTATTAGCAGCCCCTGACAATGGGTTGGAATAAAACATAGTACCTTGGGTAACATATGAATTGGCAGGAAGGCCTAGAATAGTAATCCTGTCCCATACAGAAGGAATGCATCCACTGCCAAAGCCCTGAAGGTGAGGTACTAGAGACAAACTTGCCAATAGTTAGGTGTTCGATTGAGAGGCTAACCCAACAACCAGAGTTGCAAAATGAGAGCCAAACCAACAGAATCTTGTAATGCAGCATCTATTCTGTTGGGAGAATTTGTTTAGGTTGAGATAATTGATTGGCTACTGCCATTATCATCCGTAAAACATAGAAAGCTAGTACAGTGATATGATAGAAGTGGTCATGACAAAAGAGGTCCAAGATTCAAAGACAAGGAGCCCTGGATGAAGTGCCTCCTCAATGAGAAACACAAGACACCACCACAGAATTGTCAGAGGTAAGCCTGACAATATTCCCCATAATAATTCCAGACCATGAGGCACTGCCTTTGGAAGAGCAAGAAGGACTAAAACAATGTGTACAGAAGCTTCGTCATCCCTGCATAGACTTTGGAATTCCTGACTGTTGGAACATACACCCCATCCCTGAAGCATGGCATTCATGAAGAAATGGAACTTTGGATAAGGGGCAGTATAGCAGCCCATATCTTATTAGCATCCCAACTTAACAACTCCTCTAGATTGAAGAATGATCCTCACTATGAAAACTGGGAAATCCAATGAATTGATGTTTATGATCCCTCAGTTGCATAAAGAACATTAAAAGGATCACTTGTGCTCTCATCCCAAAGGCATGAGAGAAAGAAGAGAAAGAACCATCTGTGCAGTGGGAGAATGAGTAGCAGAACCTATGGATATAGACAGAATCTAATCTGAGTACCAATGTACCAAGAGGCTGATGTCAGGACCCCCGAATAGTGGTGGAACTAAGACTCCCTGGAGGAGCTGGTGAAATTCTAGATGCCAACAACTACAGGGATGAATGTAGAAACCGACAATCAAACCATCAATGAAGTTGGTGAACCAGAGAGGCTTCCAACAAAGTGTAGTATAAGGAAAACAAAAGGTTGGAGTTTAGAGTTGTAAGTCCATAGACATATCCACCACAGAACCCCCAAATTCATGGAGCAGATGTATTACTTGAGAGTCAAAATAAGCTTCCAACTGGCAGTGATAGGCTAAATCACAAAGTTCTGACAACCTTGTTGGATAAGGCATAACTGTTCCTTCACATAAATAATAAGTTCCCCCCCCCCCTGTATGTACCACAATGTCCGTGGATGGAGAGAAAATTAAACATTCATTTCGAGACCTTGCAACCCTCAAGTAAGATGCAGGCTCAAAAGCAACTGGTGGAAAGACTCAAAACATCACACACTTATCCCAAAGTGGCCTCCTTTTTGTTTTGTTTGTCATTTAAAAGACTGTGTTGATTAGAACAACATTTAGTTAAGTAAGTTTTGTTTTGTGAGAGGAAAGCATTGTAAGCCCATAAACTCAACACTGTCCTACAGGGGGACTGAAAAGACAAAAGATGAAAAAGAAGATGCAGGAAAAAACAATCTAAACTCTCTCTCTAGAATGTTGATTGCCCTCAATTACAGCCTCAGAACCACTTGAAGGAACACCAGAGAGTCAAATATACATCTCCATCTCATTACGAATAAGATTACAAATAGTTTCAACCAAGAGTGATCCCCCCTCCCCCAATTGTTGTATGATGCAAGAGAGGAGAGACGTCATTGGCCATCATGTTGGAAATAATAATCTGATAATTCATACCGTAAGCTAGCTTGCCAATCGGATAAAAACTTACACTTTAATTGTTTTTTATGAAAATTAACCAAATAATATGGAGAACGTTCAAAGTATCTCCAAACGATCGTAGCACTGGGAAACCTGGTAGTAACACTTTGTCGAGAAAAAGTGATAACATTATCTGAATAAGGTGCTTATATACAGTACCAGGATAGAGGGCATATTGAAGTAGGTGGAGAGTGTCATGAGACAATTATTGCCAAGGGCAATTAAGTGGGGTATAAATGACTGGAGCAAGCAAGAAAAAATTAGACCAATGCTTAGATGGGCAAAGGAAGAAACTCCGACAGTCAAGTAATAGCTATAAGTGTGAGCTATAAGGTAAGTATGCTTTGGAAATCTTCTTGCCAAGTTAAACATTACAGATACTTTTAGTTATCAATAAGACTACATTCATCAACTGTGTGATGCATATATCAGTTCATTGTCACAACTATATATATATATTTATAAAATCTGTCCTTGTCACAACACCACAAATCCGTAAGATTTTAGGTTTATAAAGCCAAGCCAAAAAGTTATATTAAAATTAATCAGAATTATTTATTGTATATAAATATTTACAATTCTTGAAGGAATATCATTTAAATACTTAACCTGAGTAAAGAGATGCCATGGATAATGAAAGACCATTTTCTTTGAGAGAACTGAGTTTTGAATCACTAGCATCTGCAAACATAACAGATAACAATACCTTACAATACTTTTACATTTGTAACTCTGAAAACAGTGTGGAGAAAATCAATCTCAAAATACTTTTAAGAAAAGGGACAATTGATAACATCTTGTTAATTGTTACCTTTCTTTTTTTCAATACAAACAAACCTAAGTACAAAATAAAAAAAGAAACTATTCAAAGAATAAGCAAGATTGGTTCATTGAACTAAAAATGCTTTAAATATTACAAGATTTGGAGTAATATTATCGGGTAGAGCTCTTAAATGTATTTGGCAGTTATATCACCCACTCATGATCTAATCACTAGCAGACAATTTCTAATTATTCCCCCACAAAAAATGTTCTTCATAGTTAAGCATTTATTTCTACTGTATTAGTTTATTCTGAAAATACAAAATATGTCAATAAATTAGAAATAATACACATATAATGTTACATTATGCCATTTCTAAAATACTTGCGCACAATTATCTTCATTACACAAAAAATACTATGCTTGAATAAATAATCTTTAAAGGTGGAAGAACATATGCATATTGTGACAGTAAAATGTGTGCAAAAACATCTTGTGAAATTACAGTTCACATACGCTTAAAAATTAAAGTAAATGTATCTAATCCCGACTTTTTACATTAAAGAAGTTATAAGCACATGTTATTACTTGAATTTTCTACATTTATCATGTATATAATTGTTAGGACTAATGTGTTTCATTGACTCATAAACTTAGATATTAATACGTAACATAATTAATATTAAATCCTTTCATCTTTTGGGAATAATATTATTTGTCATAAATAATACCTATTAATTAGATGATATTTATTTTCAAAAGCAAGTTATCAAACTTACCAGACAGATCAAGCTCATCAACATCTTCCTCTGTACCACTTGAAGTAGCTGTAATGATACAGTATCACCATCAATAAGTAGGTTAAACTCTTCTATTAGAATAGTTTTAAAAGATACGTTTGACAAGAGTAAGAAACTGGGACTAAGTATTTTCAAGTTCAAAGTCCTTACAATGAATCTCTCACAGATAGTTTTAGCTACTCTTGTAAAATGTTAAGTGCTGCCACAGCTGTTTTCTAAATTTATTTTAACTTTAAATGATGTCTACTGGTGGCTCAGAGGTAATCCTGGGTTTATATGATAAAATCCAATGTTTGACCCCTACAGCAGACATAGCACAGATAACCTACTATGTAACTCTGTGCTTAAACAATGAAAATAAACAAAACAGATTTAAAACATTTATTATTATTTATATAATTCACATTTATATATTTTTAATGCCCAGTATAGAAATTTAAGTTTTCTAAGCTTACCTTTAAAACTACAAACACAAAACTATTACAGTGTATCAAAATTTCTTACCTGGTTCAACCCCAGATGAGCCAGGTGATGTAGCTAAGGAAGATGTACTGTGGCTAGTATTGGCTAAAGTTAAGAAATATAACATTAAATATATTTACATACAAAAGGTACATATAATAATAAATGAAATTCTTGATAACACTGCTCACCTACACACAACAAAAATAAAGCTATCTAACATATTAAAAACACTGTTTTATAAATGGAAGATGCATTTACAATCAACTAAAATATTTGTACAATGAATCATTCAAATAATGAGTGCAATGTTTCAATCACTTATCAAAAACGAATTTTATACATAAATGTATATGAAATACTTAAAAAGATAAACTTTAAGAATAAATTTTGTGCTAACATTTATACATTTTAATTTTGAAATATTAGTCTAAAACTTAGATAACAGGAATAAATGGCTGCCTAAAAATGCTAAAATAATACAGTTTACATATCTAACTAAAGTTAACATTTTCCTAAATTGAAAATGTATTTCCAATAATACTTACCTCTGATGACACTTATAGCTATAGCTTGACCTCCAGGGTTTCTTCTTTGACCATCTAAGCACTGGTCTGATTTTTTCTTGCATGCTCCAGTCTTTTATACCCCACTCAAAAGCCCTTGGCGATATTTGTATTGTGATACTCTCCACCTACTTCATTATGCCCTCTATCCTGGTACTGTATATAAGCTCCACATTCAGATAATTTTAGCACTTTTTCGAGACTGACACCATCCCAGTCTCTGATACCGGTTCTGAGTGGAACGGGAGAGTGTCAGCGAAGTATTACTGGAAATACATTTTCAATTTAGGAAAATGTTAAACTTCCAAAACATACTTACCTCTGCTGCCACTTATAGCTAGAAACCCACATTGAAAAGGTGGAGGGGCTGGTGAGGGCATTATCCATACAGAAAGCATCTGCATAGATCATGGGTGTACCAAGATAAGATTGATACTCGAGTGGGGGTGACTGCATTACATCTAGAACAGGTATGTTCTTCACCCTGAACTTAATTCCTATATCAAGGGTGGAATTGTACAGGAGTAATCATCACTATAGGCCAACCCCAACCAGATAGCTCAGGTTGGAATTAAAGGGTCTTGGTCCCCATATCCCACATTGGTAGCTTGAGCAATTGGACTGCAACACCCCAGGCTCAGAATGATGGGATCATGTATGCCTTACTCGACCAAAGGAACAGAACTTATCCGATCTGGAATCATGAACATTCATCCTCACTTCCCAACTGAGTGGGCAAGGAGAATTCCAGTTGCCCCTAGAATTATGGGGAGGATGTGGAACAACTGTGCTCAGGATAGGACCACTCACGTTTGGAATTACGAAGGTATAGTGGACCCCCTTCCATGAACAATGAACTGAACCAATATTGGTCAAAAAGAGGGCCATGCACACCTCAACTGGATAGCTGAGCATAAAATCTGAACTGGTATTACAAGCAGGCTTCCATGTAGGCCAGTGTTGCTTCTACCAACATATGGGAAAAAACATCCAGGGATCAAGGTAGGAGGGTCCCCAACTTCTCCTTATTTTCAAAAAGTGGAGGAATTCACTCTAACACTCTGGAGGAAAAGCCTCTTTTCACCACTCCAGTAACTGAAAACCAGGTTTGGTGAGGACTCACTAGCTCCACTAGTAGAATCTTGGGGATAATTGATGTTGGGGAATCCTGAGGAACAGTGCTCTGGAAACAGTGCAATATGTGAACCAACTTCCCTAAATTTTTAAAAGCAAACCAACTCCAATTTATTCCATCCAATGATTGGCAGGGACGGGCAAAATTTCTACACCTCATTTCTACAGAGCCTGTTGCAACTGCTGGTAATTATACTGAAATAGTGGTTGCTAGTGTGGAATTGGGTTGAGAAAAACACACCTGTTGGGACAACACTCGCCACAGAGTGGGATCCTGTGAAAATGAGGTAAGGGATCATCTAGCAGATGTGGTCACAACTGCCAGATGATGTAAATAATGTGAGAGAAAAATACTGGGAGAAGTCCACATACTAGCATACAAGATGCCCTTCAATGGGCAATTCAAATGGACAGCTAAAGACATAGAAATGTGATGAATCTGATGAGACGTGACTCGCTTGTAAAGATAGTCCAGAATAGGCAATATGGATCAATTTGTAAACCTACCTTGTCAAGGTAGTCAGGGATAAATAGCAGGATACTGAAGGATCCCAGTGAATAAACAACTGGTTTCTAGCTCTTTGAAAGGAGGTATTGCGAGCCACATAACATCTCTGGGCCTTGATGGGACATAAGAAATGATCAGGGGCCAATTGGTTGTGTGGGTGAGAAATAGCCAGCAAATAAATTGGTGAAAAGGATTTCTCCCCTTCCCTGGCTGCCAGAGTCTGAGGAAGAAAGGACCTATCTGGGTATAGCAGGACATAAGTAGAGTGATCAAGAGTCCTGTGCACATACAATGCCAAGAACTCCGACCTATGACGTTCACAGGTTGGCAGCAATAAAAAATACACTTTAAGTGAAAGGTGATACATAGTACATGAGGCTAAAGACTCGAGTGGATGTCAAGGCAAAGCACGTAATGCCACATAATATCCCAGTTAGGTAATTGAAAAGGCCTTTTGGGATGAAGGACGCTAAATGATTTGAAAAGGTTGGATAGGACTGGGAACTCAAAGAATTTCCAACATTTAGAATACCAGAAAAGTACTCGATAAAGCTGTCTTATATAAGGCGATAATAGTCAAAGCTAGACCTTTGTCAAAAAAATGAAATATGGTTGGCACATTTGAGTAAAGTGGGTTCAATTTCCTCTTGAGACACCATTGGCAATAAATATGCCCTTTCTGTTGATAAATGGCCATTGTGGGTCTATGGAGAGATTGAGACAAATACAAGGCAACTTTAGAAGTTAAACCTCGATGCCATGTGAAGGACAGCATAACTTCCATGCTTAAAGTTGGAACTTTGGAAGGTCTGAGTATAGAGTATCAACAGAAATGGCCAAAGAGGAAGTGGCAGAGGTGGACACTCATATAGGTACTGAAGAAGAGGAAACCATGGTTGGGCCAGCCAATCCAGGGCTACCAACAGCACTTGACAAGGAATGGATTGAACCATAGCTAGAAATCTGGGTAGCAGATAAATTGGGGGGAGGGAGAGAAATAGAGGTGCAATCCCCTCCAGTATTGACTGAATGCATCTATCACCAAAGCCCAAGGATGAGATACCAGTGACCAAAAAGCCTGTACTTGAGAGTTCCAATGAGTTGCAAATGCATCTATAATCAGAGTCCCGAACTGAGAGCAAATCCGCCAGAAAACTTCATGTTGTAGCATCCATTCAGTTAGAAGAATTCGGTAGGGCCAATACAGGTGATATGCCATTAAATTCATCACTCCCATAACATAGCAAGCAAGGAGTGAGCCCAGTAGAGAATGTTCAGAGTTCAAAAACAAAGGTCTGGAGAATGCATGCCCCCTTGAGGAAATATAAGATACCACTGTGGAATTGTCGGAATAAATCATGACAATTTTTCCCTTCAATAGAGCTAGACCTTGAGCCAATGCCTGATGGACAGCAAGAAGTTCAAAAATATTGATGTGAAAGGAAGATCTGTCATCCATCCACAGGAACACCTATTGTAGTGTTGTTCCAATCCAACCACCACTCAAGATCTAAGATGTTGCTCCTGAGTAAGGAGACTGGATGATCCAGTGGGTTGCAGTTCATAATCCACTGGTTGCACAATGACCACTGAAGGGATTGCATGTGTGCTCATCCCAAAGGAATAAGAGAATCAAGGGATGCCCAACATCCCCAAAAGATAGAAAGCCATCCATGCAGTAGGAGGAGATGTAAGTAAGAGCCTAACTGCCAATTCCATAGTATGGAGCCAGATGAGCCAAACATAAATACGTAATGAAAAAGACAACCAGATGGACAATGTATTGAGTTGGCATGAGAATGGATTTCTCAGCTCTGATAAGAAAGCCAGCCTTGATGGCTTCTGAAAGGAGAATCTGGGTGTATTGTTCTGACAAATGATGAGATGGAACCAGTCGTTAATATAATGGTGTGTGCACAGGCCCAAAGAATGAAGGTGATGAGAAAAAGCTCATACAGCTCTCCAGAAGATGTTAGGCAGATGATATAAGATGTTATATGTTAGGCCAAAGGGCAGAGCCCTGAACTGCAGAACCTGACCTTTGTGTATGAAACGTTGATAGCAGTGGGATTATTTTGCTATGGGAACGTGTAAATATGCATCGGCAACATCGAACTTGGTCATCCACAGACCAGGTGAAAAATGCCAATATAGGTTGAGAAAGGACTCCATCGTGAACTTAGGAGGATCTAAGAATTGGTTGAGACAAAAAAGATCGATGATCGGATGTCAATCTCCCATCTTCTTGGGCACAACAAATAAACAGGAATAAAATCCTGAAAGAATGGGATCACCTCTCTCTACCACCCCCTTGACCAACAACACTCTGATAGCCCTGGAATGAAGATCCACACTCCATGGATCTGTTTGGAGTGGAAGCACCACAGGTTGTGATGATAATAGAGGTGGAGATGTGAAATGTATGACCATCCCCAACACTAGAACCTGTTGTACCCATGGATCTGTGGTGAAGGAATTTCAGATGTCCAGAAAATGTTGTAGCCTCGTTCCCACATACCCCACTGGTGACAGTTTACCTGAGTAGAGGAGCCTCTAAAATAAGGACAGAATCTATTCTGAGTACCAACAGATCGAGGAGCTGAAGCCAGGGATCGGGACACATGATGAGCAGTCATGCCATGACTTCCAGCAGGAGACAAAGAACCTTGAGAGGCCAATGACAACAAGAAAGAATGCAAATAGGCGACACCAATCCATAATTCCAACACTTCTAGAATGCCCGCAGACATCAAAAGACAAAGAAAAGAAGCCTCACATAACTCATGAAGGGTGGCAACAGGTACATGAACTCCCACCAACAAGGCATCTCTACCCAATACATGCCAAGAAACCAAAGAAAGAGCAGAGCTGACAATCTTAAAAAGGTAGAAGTCAGCAAAGGACCCAATTCATCATCAAACTGATGTGGGGAATGCTGAAAGACTTCTGACAAAATTTGGAGGGAAGATAAATATCTCAGAACAGTAATGAGGGTCAAACGATTCCGATAAAATTGTGATCTGCTCAAAGTGATCACAGGCTCCAATCTGGAACCTCACAAGTCCAAAAGAAAATCAAGTCTTTGGGAATCTAAATATATGTCCTCCTGGCGGTGGTAAGCCAAAGCATGCTGTTCCAACAAATGTGGTGGACAAGGTATAGCTATCCCGTCATGTAACTGAGTGGCAAACCTCCCAGCATGAACTGCTGCAATATCAAGTGAAGGAGGAAAAACTAAGTAGTCTCCCTCAGACCTTTCCACCATCAAGGAAGGAGTAGACTCAAAGGCAATCAGGGAAACCTCACAAACTGAATTGATTAACTGAAGAAAGGGATCAGGAGGCAGCTGATCCAAATTGGCCATGTGAGAAACCGACCTAGTAAAGAAGGGCACAGAAAAAGCAAGTCCAAATTATTTCCAGAATGTCCTGGATCATTGGCAAAAGTTACCTCAGAACCTCCCAGAGAGGAGATACCCCTGGACCAAATATATGGACAGCCTCAACTGAGACTGATCCCCCCCCCCCCCCCCCCCCGGACTGTTGAGAGAGGCTAGATAGCAGAGTTGAAATAGGGGAGGTTTGATTAGCTTCTGTGCATATGAAACAAAAGGATTTTTTTTTAGAATTATTAAGTATAATTTAAGGTATGAAGATCAACTAGGTGAAGCAAAAATTGAAACTACAGACATTATCTATTGCAGCACTTTTTTTAGAGAAACCCGTGTCTAAATGATTTGTCAAAAAAAAGTGATCAAGTTATCTGAATCAGGTTCTGATATACAGTACCAGGATAGAGGGCACACTGACATAGATGGAGAGTATCACAAGACAAATATTGCCAAGGGCAATTGAGTGGGGTATAAAAGACTGGAGCAAGCGAGAAAAAATTAGAGCAATAGCTATAAGTGGAAGCAGAGGTAATTATGTTTGGAATGCCATTTTTGAGGTTAACAGTACTATTTATTATTCTGAAATTCATAAAATGTTGTTTCTATACATAAAATGAGTCATTAAAGAAGTGGCATAAATTTGGACAAAATTTGAAACTGGTGTACTTACTGTCTGTTTTCCCATCACTAAGTAGTGTAAGACCCCTGAATCTTTCTTTCTGTTTCAATAAAGAAAACAAAAACTTTGTGACCAAACATCTCTAGATTATTTGCAAAATAACTCACTATAAAAAGGTTACAAAAGAATACATTAAATATTTATTTTATCATTATATGACTTCAATATTTAAATGCCTATTCTACATCACTAGAATGAAAAAAAACTGCTTTGACAAAAGGACACTAAGTAGACTATTAGCTTGACATAAATGTCCAATCTTTCATTTTTTTGTTTAAATGTCAACAGTTATGCCTACTTGTAACACAGCATAGGAAACTCTTTAAACTTCTACACAGTAGAGGATTACACTACACATATCAATTACATTTATAATAGATTTTGTGATAGTGATACACTGGAAGGAAATTAGTAAATTTATAAAAATAATGTTTAAAGCAGGCTTGAAAACCAATAGTTTTGTATAAATGAAGCATAATACTAAAAATAAAAATATATGTATCAATATCAAGAATGACATATAGGAAAATATTTATGCACCAACAGTAAATTTTTAATGATTCAGAGTAACAAATGTTTAACCAATTAATGCTTATACTTCTTGTTGTCTTTCTCGTCTTCTTATCCTAATTCGCTGTTTGAGGTTTTGTATCTCTTCATCACTATCATTAGCTTCTTCTTCAGCTTTTTGCAGCATTTGATTGCATTTCATTTGCTCTATGGCTCCAATTAATGCTTCAGATATGCAGAAATGTGCATTTTCCTGCATAAAACAAAGTAATTAATCCCTCATTTTTTAACAAAGATTAAAAGTTACAACCTAAAGCCAATACATTACATTAGCAACTTACTAACTACAGCCAATAAACTCTATCAAGGCTATAAAAAAATGTGCGTATGATACAAGAAAATAAGGCCTAAGCCTCACAACAATATTTCCACAATCAATGGTGTGCCATGTGAAGATCCTCCTATGGGTTATTTCTTTGAAGCACAATCAGATAGCTGAAGGTCAAATCTGAGCCGGTACTATGAGTAGAGTCCCATGTAGGCTGGTGCCTCTACTACCAACATTTTGGAAAAAAACAACCAGGGACCTAGGTAGTAGGGCCCCCAACTTTGCCCTCTTCTCCAAGAGTGAAGGAAATTCACTCTAACACTCTGTAGGAAAAGCCTCTGTCCACCACCAGAGTGACTAGAAATTGGGTGTGGTAAGGACTACCTAGCTCCACTAGTAGAATCTGGGGGTAATGAGCACTCAGGAGTCCTGAAAACAGTGCTCTCGATTTTCAAAAGCAAACCAACCCCAATTTATTCAATTCAATGACCAGCAGGGATGGGCGGGATCCTCTTTAGTTTTACTCATGATAGTCCATGAGTAGTGGTCCAGTATACTATGGTAATACCAGCTGGTGAGCTCCTAGGTGGTTTAATGGAACACCGCATTTCTACAGAGCCTGTTTCAATTTAGTTAAGGTATATACTAGTGCAGAATTGGTTTAATTAAAGCACACCTCCTGGGCAACACTCGCCACAGAGCGGGATCCTGTGAAAGTGAGGTAAGGAACCCTGAAAGGTAAAGTAGAGACAAGCATAGCAATAAAAATACCCATCCTTCTGTATAATCTAGTGGAACTGGTTAAGATAGCTACAGGGAGTAGTCGAAAACCTTCAAATGAAGATACTGTCAGATCACATAAATAATTAAAATTCTTGTATATCGAGCTCATAAACTATGTAGTAATGTTGAAGTGTTTAAAAATGAAGTGAAAAACATAAAAAAATTACTTGTGTTTGAATGATTTCCCAATAAAAGTTTTAACATGAGTTATCAACGATTATATGAACAAAGCAGCCACCCCTATGGAAGAGAAAGATAATGTTCTAAAAAAGATTGTGTATATGATACTACCATTTACTTAGACACATGCTTTGAAAATCAAGAAAAATATAAAGAACTTCTTTGAAATGTGTACCCACAAGTTGAACTACATGTGGTACTTAAACCAGTATACAGAATAAGGAACTATTTTGTATTCAAAGACAGAACTTGCAAAGCAGACCGATCACATGTCATCTACAAATATCAGTGTTCTGTTTGTGATAGTGTGTATATAGGGTCGACAGTGAGGAGGCTTAGTGATCGAGTTAAAGAACATAGTGTGTCAAGGTATGCAGAATTCTCAAACATTTTCCAATATAAAGAAAAATACATGAATTTAATTTTGTAGAAATTGAACAGTTCCAAATTATCAGAAAGGCTGAAAATGAGCAGTAGCTAAGATTAAAAGAAACATTAGCCATAAAGAACTTGGCACCTGAACTAAATAAGAAATCCAGCACCGGTGAGCTGATGTTAAAAGTGTGATAAGAGAGAAAAAATTCACGTTTGAAATTACCTTGTTATTTAAATATTACATATAAATAATGTGAGATAAAAGTATTGGGGGAGGTCCACCTACCAGCTCACACAGTGTCCTCTAGCGGGAAATTCAACCGAGCTGCTAAGAACATAGAAATGTGAAGAATCTGATTAAATGTGACTTGCAGAAGATTTCTCACCTTCAAAGAGAGCCCAATATAAGCGATATGGATCAATTTCATAACCACCTCGTCAATGTAACCAGGCATAAATATTGGGAAATGGAATGACCCCAATGAATAAAAAGTCATTGTCTAGCATCTCTAAAGGCATTAGTGCAGGAAACAAATCCTTCAAGACCCTCACTGAACATAACAAATGATCAAAATCTGTTTGGTTATAGAAGTGAAAAATAGTGATCAGATAAATCGATGAAAGGGCATGTAATGTAACATAAAATACCAGTTAGGTAACTTGAATGCTCGTTTGGGACAAAATACCCAAAGTGACCTGAGGAAATCGGAGAATACTGGGGACTCAAAGAATTTTTGTCTCAAGTATCGAATGGTAGTCAATACGGCCACCTTATACAGGGTGATTATGGAAGATGCAAAACCCTTGCCAAAGTGCCAGGTTAAAAAACGAGTTATGGTTGGCACTTCTGATCAAAGTGGGTTCAACATCCTCTCAATACACCATTGTTGATATGTGTGCCATTTCTGTTGATAAATGTTCATCGCAGGATTAAGCAAAGAATGAGACAGATACGTGGCAACCTTAGAAATTAAACTCAGATGCGAGGTGAAAGATTGCATAGTCTCTTTGCCTGAAGCTTGAGCTTCTGGATAGCTGGGTGTACAATGTCAGATCATGGTTGCCTCCACAGAGATGACCAAAGAGGAAGTGGAAGAGGTAGGCACTCCTGAAGGTATTGCAGAAGCATAAACCAGGGTGCTAACAACAGGACCTGACAATGGGTTGGAATGAATTATAACTAGTACCTTGAGTAACACACGAATTGGAGGGAAGGCCTTGAGTTGTAATTCCATCCTGTCCCGACTGAATGCATCTATTGCCAAAGCCAGAAGGTGATGTACTGGAGACCAAATTGCCAATAGTTGGGTGTTCCAATGAGTGGCAAACCCACCAATCATCAGTGTTTCAAAATTAAAGCCAATCCAAGAAAAACCTCGTGATGCAGCATCTATTCTGTTGGGAGAATCTGTTTGGGCCAAGATAACTGATCTGCCACCAAAGTCATCACCCATGAAATATGGCAAGCTGGTAGGGTGATATATGATAGGAGTAGTCCCAAGAAAGATTTAATAAGCTTGATAAACAAATTTTTTCTTGTATGAAAATCAACTAGGTAACTCAAAAAATGCTCAAAGCATCTTAAACCCAATGATCATAGTACAGAGAAACCCATTAGTGAATGCTTTGTCGTAATAAATGTGATAACATTATCTGAATGAGGTGCTTATGTACAGTACCAGGATATAGGGGAGCGCATTGAGGAGATTGTCTTAAAACAAATATCATCAAGAGCATTTAAGTGGGGTGTAAAAGACTGGAGCAAGCAAGAACAAAATCAGACCAATGCTTAGATGGGCAAAGGAAGAAACCCTGGCAGTCGAGTAATAGCTGTAGTGTGAGAGGAGGTAAGTGTGTTTTGGAACTAATTTTTTTGTATCACATTTACAGAAAGTTTTCTAATATTTTGTTCATTTTTGTTATGTAACCTATGTAATAGTTGGTGTATACATGATCGCCATATTTGTTTAAATAAATGAGTGAGTGTTTGTTTCATTGTTCGTTTTTATCTTCATCCCTGTTCTATTCAGATGTGTCTGATGTAGACCTAAGACTGATTCAAAACTCTCATTAAAAACATTTCTTCAGAATGAAAGAAAGCATTTGTAATGCATAATTTAGTTTTTCAAAAAGTAATAGCTCTGTTTAATTAACAATTCAAAAACAATTAACAGAAGCAGAACATATAAACACTAAGCATTCATTCCAATGCAAAACCTTTTCAGTTAACTTATAAGTGTTTTACTGTAAACATTTATAATTTGTTTCTTAGGGTAAGGTTGTGGCAATCAAATATTAGTCATTGTCTGGATTAGTAGTCTATAAGGTCATCTAAGTCTTATTATTAATTAGTAATTGTTTATGATTTCTCTGCAAATAGCAATAGATTAGCAGCCAAAACAAAGGATAAAACTAGATAGTGATATAAGATTACAAGTTACTTATTAGACTTTTATAATCAATACATGCAAATAATAATGATAACTATTTTATAATTTAGTACACCAGGTGACTCTTACTGTATTGAATATCATTTTATTTTTACATCATACCTTGTCCATTTCAGCACAAGCATTAAAATCCTGGGAAGACAAAAATCCCTTTAAACTTTGACCTTTCTGTGGCTGTGGAAAGAAGCATTCTGTTTTTGGTGTGACAATGCGGCCACCTGAAGAAAAAATAATTTGCACAGATATGCATTGTTATACAAAACTTGACTTGAAACTTGTACAATAAGAGCTTGTTGGAAGAAAAACAAATTGAATACAAATATTAATGCGAACATCTCTCTGAAGTAGTTTTAATACACAAGTTATTTCAGTAAAAACAATTTAACCTTAGAGTTACAACAGAAAACAAAAGGGTTCAAGTGCAATCATAAATCAACATGTAACCATTCTTCCAAGTTACTTGGATTTAAAGAAATATTAGTAACCGTAACAGCCAAAAGATAATAGTTATCGACCTTTGTGTTTTGTGGAGAAATGGACTGATATTGAAGTCCAGTGTTCACTAAAGATATAGTAAGGTTAAATCATTTTTGTAGTTGCAAAAATACACTTGTACCAACACAAATATCAGAAATTTCTTATTCCATTTATCACCACTTTTATAGACAATTACTAATAGGATTGAAGAGAACTGATTCTAAATTTAAACTTACATAATTAATGAGTACTCAGAAGTGTTGAAAATAAATTATATAAGACACTGAATTCATCTGATTATCCATACTGTAGATGATACTACATATACTATATAGTATAAATCAAATTCAATAACATGGGTATTGCATGAGATACAACTGGCTTAAAGCAGTCTAAATTTGATAAACATTAAGGTTTAACTTTTCTAAAGAGTCAGCACCAGAATATTAGTGTAATTCTACAGATAGATAAATAGTATTGTTCTTTTTTAATGATTTTTGGCCTTTTTAGTATTTTTGTCAGTTTTTTGTATGGAATGTGCACAACTGAAAAATACTCAAACACTTACATTCACATTTTGTGTTCCAATAATATGTGGATCTTTGGCACACACACAACTGCTTTCTATGTTTTGTAAGTAATGACACATTTCATTTTATGTACAGTTAGCTTCATTAATATTACTGATTATAATCTTTTAAAATAGTTTTGAATATTATAGTATTATTACTTAATATTAACTTCCAATTAGAGCAAATTATGTACTAAGAGCAAACTAAAATTCAACCTTGTATTGATAATAACTAGCTAATTAAATATATTTATGTTCTTATTTATGAAGATTAGAATGTGTTGTTTCATCAACTGAGTACCCTTGCTATTAAAAAAAAAATTTGGTTGTAATCCCAATAATATCTCATGAGGTTCAGCGAGCTTAGAATATTTAGGTTAATCCAAAATACGTATGTTAATTTACAAATGAAAAACAATAATAAAAAATAAACAAAAAGTAGTTAAATTAGATATATTAAACATTCTAATCAATACTGTTAATAAAATTAAGTATAAAGATAAAACAGAATATTAACTTTTACACTACAAAAAGATTATTCTAAGTTCTTAGCTCAGTGTGAATTTAGGACTAACCTAGATCTCCTAAGCTGACCAAACCTTGTGAACTATTAATGTGATTACAACCAATAATATTACAAAAAAAACAACAAAGGAACCCAAATCAGTGCATTATAATTATTACATATTTAAATTTTTCTTGTGATGATTTATGAACATTATGTACTTTATAGTCAGTTTGTTATACAGAATTAGCTTCATAAATTGAGAAAATGCTTTTTAAGTTCTGATTTCATAGCAATGTGCAAAATGCTCCTAAGAATCATATCTTGCATGTACAAATTTAAAAGTATAAGCCCAAATGATACCAAAATTATCATACTGATAATCTCATATTACATAAAACAGTGATATTTACAGCAGTATCAGGGGGAGTTTACTCTTGACATAAATGAAAACTTACTGATTTTGTGATCCAAAACCACTGCAAAGGCAGTTTTTCTTAATACTTTCTACTAACTTGTAAATCATTTGGTTGATTTAGGTAGTCAAACCAACCACTGTCAAACCAGAATTTGAATCCATGTTGGCCGTATAGAAAAAGGTAATGTACATGTATATTACACATAATTATTATTACTTGCCTTATAGTACATCCAGGCCAAGAACTAGACTAATATTAGTAGCAATAAAACAATGCAAGTGCCCAACTGCCTACCAAAAGACATAGATACAGGTCTTGGCAATACTGAAAGTTAGAGTTCGAAGTCATATAATGCTTTTAGTATCATTGCTACAGCATAAGTGCAGCTTCCAATTAATGTATAGCTCTAGAGATTTACAAAATACAAGCAATAAATTTAGGCTTAGATATATAATAAATCATGATGTGCTCATATGCAGCCTTGATCATGACAGCTTAGATCAGCCAATACATATATTTTCCCAATCAAGTAAAGCTTCCAAACAAAAAACTAACAAAATAAAATAGTAGATAATCTCAGGTATTTGTTGCAAATGCCTATTCTGTTGAGGAGAAAAAAAAATAAAAACTTGGTGATAAATCAACACTTAACATTAGCACCCATAATTCTCTTCAGGTTTGTAAAGATTTTGATGCCCAGGTGGCATTTAAAAAATATTAGTGGTTTTGAGAATCTCTGGCAAAATGTAGTTTTTGTGGTTGAAATGTTCTCTAACCATTTTGCTTTTCATTTTAAAATGAAAAAAATCCCTAAATACATAAAATAAATATATTTCAAGAAAAATTATAGATACATGTTGGGAAGTTTATTAATTTGCAAACTAGAATGGCTTGAAACAATGTCATTTTTTTGTTATGGCAAGTTAATGATAAAGGTATATATATATATATATGTATACAATTCTAAGAATTTATAATTGAAAGCAGAGTAAAATGTATAACAATATGCCAATCACATCATATCTGCTATATTCAGTATCGACAAGGTCTTTCACAAAATAATGGGGCTAGAGTTAGGCAATGAACTCGATTAAGCATAGATAATATTGAGTTAGTGTCACATTATTTAATCAATTAATCACAATTACATTTATTAATATAATGAAAATAAACTAATCAAAATTAATGTTCCTGATTATTACTGTTGGATAGTCATTATCATATTGTCATTATGATTTTGTAATTATTCAAGGTTTTTCAACTCAATCGATTAGGGTCTTGACTCATGATAACTAACCAAATAAGTGAAATTAGTGTTTCTGATTATTACTGTTGGATATTGTCATTATGATTTTGTAATTATTCAAGGTTTTTCAACTCAATCGATTAGGGTCTTGACTCATGATAACTAACCAAATAAGTGAAATTAGTGTTTCTGATTATTACTATTTTCAACTATTCCTACTATCCACATTTCATATAAGAATAATCCACTAGTTGAATGTAATTAATTAATGAATCTAACTATTAACTGATTATCAAATTCCACAAATTGTACAGTTTTAAACAAGGATCCTCAGGCTAACTGAGATGCAACAGTGGTTCAGATGCATTTTAAATTACCAAAATGTATGAACAAACTGTAATGTTGATTAAGTTTCTTAAGAGCAATTTTTATCAATTGTATACAAGTTATTGACAAGTCAGAATTGAGATAATATTTAATAACGTAATTCTATTATTTTTTAAAAACCAATATGTAACATACACATATTAAACTAAAGGTTAAAACATGATCAACAACTACATTAAATTTACAACCCCTATATACTGTACATAACAGTTACATGTAAACCTGTACAAGAATAAAAGATTTACGAAAATTTCTATTATAATCTCAAAATACTGACACTTTCAGAGTGATTAAAAACACAATACATTCAAAATAATTATGTTTAAAAAACTAGCTTGTTCTTAAACTAAATTTCACCAAAAGCTTTCCATCATTCTCAATCAGTATATCAAGCCTATCCTTAAATAAAGACAAGTATCATCTGATCTGGACAGCATTTACTGTAATATCCTGGACACTGATATAGATTTGATCAAACTGCCAACTTCATATCGTTGAAAAATAAAAAGAGAAATAATAGTAATGCTAGCTTGCAAGAACAGCAATTTAGTTATGCAGCATCATATTTCTATTTGTTATTCCACAGAATTTTAACTACATTATACTGTCTTTTGAATTGAAATCACTATTCAATTCTATTAGGTCATGTAAACGTGTAAGTACTTCCTGCATCATACAATAAAATAAAAATGCACTCAAAGGCAACAAGTTTTTTATAATACTATCACAAAACTGTTTTATTTTATATTACAAAAATAAAACTTAGCATTAAGAAAATTTTACAAAATACCAAATAATTTTGTATTTGTTAAAATGTTAGGTACATATAATGCTACAAAATTTCAAGTTGTTTCCAAATGTAAAGTTTTTTTATCTTTTGAACACATTCTTAATTTCCCTTCGCAAAAAGCTCACACTCAGCAAAACAAGGGTGTTAGGGTATTCTCTTGTATTATTTATTTTTTGCAAACAGATATTTTGGAGATAACTCAAAATATATACATATGTATACAAAACAAGGTTTCATACTAGTTGAAAAGAATTACATAAAATGTATGTGAGAGTATCCCAATGTTACTAAACTATTTTTAAGTTATTTTGCTAAACAATCAGAAAAACTCTTACCTTCTTCTAAGAAACTTTTTCTCCTATTGGTTTTCCTCACAAACTCAGATGGCAATGATGATGAGAGAGAGGATGAAGTCTGAGACGTTCCATCTGTGATGTCAGCATACATATTGGTTGGTTGTGTACTGACAGTTTCACAGACATCTGATTTTGACCTAAAATGTTGCTTTTTCACATGAAGTTTAGAAGGGCTATTACATAATGATTTAGGAACATTGTTCCAATTTTTTTATCAGTCTGCTCTTCCACTGAAACTGACACAGTTCTGCTACTTCCTCCTTCAACTTTATTATGTGTTGGGCAGTTTCCTTGGTTAGGCATTTCTTTTGATATGTAGCACAAGGAAGATTCTTTAACTAATGTAACAGATTCTTTTAAAGAATCAGAAGTCTCACTTTCATCAACATCAGATTTAGCAATTATTTGTAGACTTATATCATTTTCTAAATTTCTTATAGAAGTTGTAGTCTGCCAAACAAAAAAATCAGACATAGAAACAATGCTGTCACTAACTGACCTTCTTAAAATGTCTTTACTAGTAGTTACTTGACTTCCATAAAATGTAGGTAGGCTAAGGCTCGATGCTGTTACTGAACACTGTTTCCTTAATGGCCATGCACTTGATGAGTCATGAAAAGAATAAACATCTTTAAAGATTGGATTTCTAAACAACTGATGATTAGTGCTTGAACAACTCCAAGTCCTTACTAATGGCCATTTAGGAAAATCAATATTTTCTAATTCGGATGCAAACTGAAGACGAGGTCCCGCACTTTTTGTTCTCTTTCTTTTTGAATGGTATTTAGGCTGAGATTTACATTTCATAATTCCTAAAAATTCACAAGTGGAAGAGGAAGAACTATCAGCACCATCTTTTTCCAAATTCTTTCCTTTAAGCCTTTGTGCACTTGTTTTCCATCTATGTTTCTTCATCTGATGCTTTTTGGCACATCTTTTTTTGGCTATTGTTGTCACACCTTTCTTTCCTGTGGGGTACGACATACTAAGCGCTTTCCTAATTTGGCTGTAGATGTTTTTTTCCATTTTTCCATTTGGTGATTTGACTTTCAAAGAACTTTGCTGTTTTTTTCTCAAACTGACAATTTTATCCTCAAGCGGCTGTTTGATGTCTTCTTTATCAATAACACACGAAGTCCTCCAATTGCCTTTCAGTTCATAGAGGTCTTCTATACATGAATAACTTCTTACTATTTGTCTTTTTTTCAGTTTCTCTCTAAGCTTGCTACTTCCAAATCTAACCAGCTTTAAAATATTAGACAAGAACATTTTAGCAAAAAGTTTTAAAAACATACAACTATAATAATTAGTTAATTATATTTAAATTATTAGTATGCCTGTTTTAAAATAATTCCAAAAGAACTTGTCTAATATAACAATGATTGTATACTCCTCCCAGACTACTCTCACACAGAAGGACAGAATGAGTCAAACTATGAAATCATTGAAACACACCTGTATACATTATTACTAAGTTCAACAAACTTAGGAATGCTAAAGCTGTTAATATGCTCACTGATGTGAACAACTAGAAGTGTGTGTCTACTTTTCAAGTACACTGAATTCTACAGACACTTCATATTTACTTTTTCTTTTTGAGAGAACTTGGAGGAACATAAAATACATAAACAGAATATAATCTAAAATGAACAAAATGTAAAAATAATGCATACAACACTTTTAAATATACAAATTTTGATACACAAACATTAGAAAACTTAAAAATAAGCAATACTTATAAATATATGATGGGGCATATAAAATTATAATTGAACCTTTAAATTACTTAATATCATGTGGCTACACCTACAGGTAAATGCTAATAATATGAAAGGGCTGAATTTTTTTTTAATTGTTTAAACTAATAATGGGTACAATTTGTAATCATTATATGACATTTAAAAGTATTACTGAAAAATTAATTTTAAAATGTTTTACACGAAAGATTATACCCGATTAAATTAATATATAAAAAACATGTCAGACAGCAAAATGACTACATTAAAGAACCATCAGAAATAAAACTCCAAACTTGTACTTTTATTTTATTGATTTAAAAATTCCAAAACCTTGTAGCTGTTTGTGGTTAGAATTGGCCTCAAACAATGTTCGATTGTTGGTTATGCATAATCAATCAATGATAAATTATGATTCAATTATTGGTAGCAGAGTAACTATTAATTAAACAGTCCTATGTAAATTAACATTTTCTTAAGTCGAAAGTGTATTCCCAACAATACCTACCTCCTCTCACACTACAGCTATTACTCGACTGCCAGGGTTTCTTCTTTTGTCCATTTAAGCACTGGTCCAATTTTTTCTCGCTTGCTCCAGTCTTTTATACCCCATTTAATTGACATTGGAAATATTTGCCTCATGACACTCTCCACCTACATTAATTATATATAGTGGAACTGTATATAAGCATCTTATTCACATAATGTTATCACTTTTTCGACACTGACTCAATCCTGTATGCCATACTCAACCAAAGGAACAGAACTTATCCAATCTGGAATTATGAACATTCTTGCTCATTTCCCAACTGAGTGGGCAAGGAAAATTCCAGTTGCCCTTAGAATTATGGGGAAAACACGGAACAACTGTGCTCAGGATGGGACCACTCCGCATTTGGAATTACGAGGGTATAGTGGACCCTCTTCCTAGATCATTGCACTGAACCAATATTGATCAAAAAGAAAGGCCACGCTCACCCCAACTGGATAGTTGAGCATCAAATCTGAACCAGTACTACAAGTAGACTCCCACATAGGCTGGTGCCTCTCCTACTGACATCTGGGAAAAACACCCAGGGACCTGGGTAGGGAGGTCCCTAATATCACCCTCTTCTTGAAGAGTGGAGGAAATTCATTCAAACACTTTAGAGGAATAGCCTCTGTCCACTGCCTCAGCGACTGGAAACTGGGTGGGGTAAGGACTCTCTAGCTCCACTAGTAGGAAACGAGTAATGCACATTGGGGAGTCCAGAGGAACAATACTCTGGAAACATTGCAACAGATGAATCAATTTCCCTAAATTTTTAAAAGCAAACCTACCCCAATTTATTGAATCCAAGGGTCAGCAGGGATGGGCAGGATCTCCTTATGCTTTAATCATGATAGTCCATAGTGGTTCAGCATAGTAAAATAATACCACCAGGCCTGCCTGTAGGTGGTCTTGTGGAACACCCGATTTCTACAGAACCTGTTGCAACCGAAATAAAGTATATTGTGTTAGTTGCTATTATTGAGGAATTGGTTTGATAAAAGTACATCTGACTGGGCAACACTCGCCACAGAGCAAGATCCTATGAAAAAGATGTAAGGGACCCTGGAAAAGACGAGATTAGTAATGAAATACTCACCCCTCTTTATAATCTAGTGTATGTGGTCAGTATAGCTACAGGGGGTAGTCAAAAATTCTCAGAGGAAGAGACTGCTAGATCATGCAATTAATGTGAGATAAAAGTATTGGGTAAGGTCCACATACCAGCCCACACAATTTAACTGAGGAGATGTGACTCACAAAAGTCCCCTCACCTCCAAAGAGAACCCAAACTACATAATATGCATCAATTTTTGTACCCACCCTGTCAAGGTAACAGGGGATAAATCCTGGGAAACTGAGGGGTCACAATGAATAAAAAGCCATTGTCTAGCACCTCCAGAAGCTTCATTGCAGGCAACCTAACACTTCAAGGCCCTCACTTGACATAACAAACAACCAGAATCTGCTTGATCATAGATGTGAGAAATAGCTGTCAGATGAATAGGTGAAAAGGGTATATCCTCTTCCCTGGCTGTCAGTATCTTAGGTAAGAAGGACCCATCTCGTTATAAAATGATGCAGTGTAAACAACTCCGACCAGTGACATTTGCAGGCCAGCAGCAACAAACATGAAACCGTAATGTAAAGGTGATACATGTTACATCAGGCTAAGGGCTCAAACAGATGTCTAGAAAGAGCAGGCAACACCACCTTTATATCCCAGTGACGTAACTGAAATGAAGACCTGGAAATCCAGAGGATCACTGTTCATGATCCACTGGTTGCATACAGACCATGGAAGAGATCTCATGCACATTCATCTCAAAGGAATGAGGGATACTAGTGATGCCCAAATCTCCAAAAAAAGAAAAAACCATCTCTGCAGTGGAGTAATAAAACGTGAGGAAAAAACTGGACTGCTTGTTCCATAGTGTGGAGTCAGATGGGAGTTAGCTGAGCCTGACTGATATTTGTGTTGAAAAAGACACCCAGATGGATGAGATATTCAGTTGGGAAGAATAGATATCTCGGCTCTGATAAGAAATCCTGCTGTGGTTGCTTCTGAAAGTAGAATGTGGGTATGATGTTCTGCCAACTGATGAGATGATGCCAGCAGTAACTGGTCATCCATACTATGGTGTGTGCACAGGCCTAGGAAAAAAAGGTTTGTACAGTGTGTCAGAACACATAACGTTGAACTTTATCATCCACAGTCCTGGCAAAAAATGCCAACACAGAGTGAGGAATGATACCACTGAGAACTTTGGAGGATCTAGGAATTGATTTAGACGAGAAAAATCTATGACCAGATGCCAATCTTATCTTCTTGAACACAACAAACAGAGGAGAATGAAACCCTCTCTCCACTGCTCCCTTGACCAACAAATCTTTGATAGCTGTAAACAAAGTTCCAAATTTCGAGGATCTGCAGGAGGAGGAACACCACAGGTTAGGAGGATAATGGTGGTGGAGATGTGAACTGAATGGCCAATCCTGATGCAAGGACTTCTAGTACCCATGAGTCTGTGGTAAAGGTTTTTCCACACATCCAGAAATTCTCGGAACCTAGGCCCCACAATCCCCAAAAGCATACGAGAGAAACTGACCCATTGTGGCATTTTGCCCAAGGGGCTGATGTTGGGGTTGGGACACTCAAATAGGGGTGGAACTCTGACTCCCTGTAGGAGTTGAGGAAAGTAGAGAAGTCTATGAAGACACGGACGAATGCATACAGGTGACATCAACCCTCGATTCAAAAGACACTGAAACACCCACCAAAATCAAGGGTCAAAGAAAGAGGGCCTCACATAACTCATGGTGTAGGGATGATAAATATCTCAGCACCATAGATAGGGTCAGACGATTCCTAGAAAATTTTGATCTATTCAGGTTGACCACAGACTCCATTCTGGATGCCTACATTTCCAGGAGCAGATATAGTCTCTGAGAGTCTAAATATGCTTCCACCTGGCAGTGGTACGCTAAAGCATGTGGCTTTGACAAACGTGGTGGACAAGGCAAAACTGTCCCTTCTGTAACTGAGTAATAAACCTGCCTCCTTGAACTACAATATCAGAAGCTGGATGGAGAAATAAGTATTCACTCTCATACCTTTCTGCCATCAAGGAAGGCATAGAATCAAAAGCAACTGGGGAAAAACCCAAAACATCACACATTCGATTTACCACCTGAAGAAAAGGATCCAGAGGTGGCTGATCCAAAGGCAGACAGAGCAAAGGAAGGTGTTGGAAAAAGCGAATCTAAATTATCTCCTGAATGTCCAGGAATGCCTGTGAGTGCAGCCTCCAATATATGTCTCCATCTCATTACGGATATGGTCACAAACAGCCTCAACTGAGGGAGACCCCACCCCCACAAATTCGTTAGCAACACTACATATCAGAAGTGGGATAGGAGAGACTGGATTTGCCTGCATGTCATCAGATACAGTGATCCAGGAATTCATGCTGTGTATAAGCTTGCCAAACGAAATTTTTTTTGTATTATGAAAATCAAAATAGATAATTCAAAGAATGTGCAATATTTCCAACAGTCATACAACAGAGAAACATAAGTGAATGCTTTGTCGAGAAAAAGTACCAAGATAGAGGGCAGAATGTGGTAGGTGGAGTGTCACGAGACAGATATCGCCAAGGGCCATTAAAGTGGAATAAAAGACTGGAGCAAGCAAATAAAAATCAGACCAACGCTTAGATGGGCAAAGGAAGAAATCCTAGCAGTTGAGTAATAGCTGTAGTGTGAGTGAATGTATGTATGTTTAGGAATAAATGATTTGGATGAATATTATTGAATGTTTATAATGAAGAATGTAAATAGGCAGCATCTATCCATGATTCCAAGGTCTCTGAAACTCCAGAAAATAACAGAAAAGGAGCCTCCCGTACTTCTTGGAGGGCAAGAGATGGTAGATGAACACTCTCCAACAAGGCATCTCTACCCAATAAGTCCCAGCAACAAACAAGTGAGGAAACTAATGAAAGAACTGAGGCCGACAATATGACCATGGTGGTCGTCAGCAAAGGTCCCATGTTGTCCTCAAACTGGTGAGGAGAACATTGATAGGCTTCAGACAAAAGTTGGAGAAAATATAAATATCTCAGGACTGTCATGAGTGTCAGACAAATTTGAGAAAATTGTGATCTGTTTAAAGTGATCTCAGGTTCCAATCTAGAAGGCCATATGTCCAAAAGGGTGTCCAGTTGAGAATCTAAGTATACTTCTTCCTGGCAGTGATAAACCAAGTGATAAACGTGGAGGACAAGACATAGCAGATTTTCCAGCATGAACAGCAATATCTGGAGAAGGAGAAAGAAATAAGTAGTCACTTGCCATCCTTTCTGCCAACAAGGAAGGATTAGACTAAAAAACAACGGGGGATAATCCCAATACCTCACAAACTCAATTAACCAACTGAATAAAAGGAGCAAGAGGTGGTTGATCTAGATTGTCTTCTGTCGACCTGATAAACCAAGGAGCCAGAAAAAGAAAGTCTAAATTCTCCCCAACATGTCCAGGATCATTTGCAAAAAGCACCTTGGTACTCCCTAAAGAGACACCCCAGTCTGCATATATGTCTCCTTCTCACAATGGATCATATCATGGACAGCCTCAACTGAGAGTGGCTCCTCCCCCATATGTTGACAAACGTCAGATAGCAGATGTAGAATAGGGGAGGTCTGGTTAGCCTCCCTGGTGGAAACATTAACTCGGGAATTCATGCCCAAAAAACGGCAATTTTGTATGTTTGAATTAATGAAATTAAACTAAATTTTCACTGTAGAAAACAGAAATCAGCATTGAAAGTTGTAATTGAAAAACATTAATAATCAAACTGCTCTTGTATAGAAACCCGTGCCTAACACTTTGTCGAGAAAAAGTGATTACATTATCTGAATGAGCTGCTTATATACAGTACCTGGATAGAGGGCGTATTAATGTTGGTGGAGAGCTTTGCAAATTAGATATTTCCAAGGGCATTCAAGTGAGGTATAAAGGACTGGAGAAAGCAAGTTCAATACTTAGATGGGTAAAGATGTAGAAACTTTGAAGATTGAGAAATAGCTAAAATGTCAGCAGATGGTAGGTATGTTTTGGAAACCTATCTTCCCCATGTGTCTGCCTTAGAGATTTGCATGGCACTAACCTTTAGGCAATTCCTACCTAAATTCACGAGATTTATGCAGCAAAAGCTCTCCACCAATAGGAGGGTGACTCAACCTCCCTGCACACAAGCTTCCTCTATGCTTTTGGACTCGTGATCTTCCTTTTATGATGAGCCAAGGAATAAGACGTTGCACTGAAAGTGGGAGGAAGGGTGGGAAGAGGTAATTATCTATTGGAAATTCATTTTCAGATAAAAAAAATGTTAACTTCTGAAGCAATACACACCTCTGCATTCAGAAAGCTAGAAGGAGAATCCCCAGGGAACATGCCTCCATAAGTCATCATTATTACCCAACCTGTTAAGAAAATAAGTCACCCACACAAGAAGTAGAAGACAGTACATGAACTAGAGTTCATGACTGAAAAAAAAGAAAAGAAAGGAAATTACGTTTCCTCAACATCACAAATTTAGTTACATTTACAAAGAAAAAACACATCTGAGGTGTTCACTGCTGAGGAACACAATGAAAATCACGAGTACGAAAGCATAGAGAAAACTAGTGCAGAGGGAGATTGTGTCACCCTCCTACTGGTGTAGGGCTTTTGCTGTATAATAATGTCATTATGCAGTAGCACAAATCACAAGAAATCTTGTGAGTTTAGATGGGAGTTGCCTAAAGGATAGTAGCATGCATATCTCTAAGGTGGACACACAGGGAAGATAGCTTTCTGTGTGAAGATGTGTGCATCACCTCGGAATTACCAATTTTTAGTATCATCAATGATTGTGCACACCACTAGTAATTATAATGTTGTGTAACATTTAAATTTCCTTCAATGATACTGAATAATGTATTGCAGAACATTTATATATGTATTGTTTAATTGAAAAGATATATATCTTGTTAGCATGACAGTCACTTAAAAATGGAAGAAACTTGGATCAACAGTATGTGTACAGTGCATTACATCTGTAATTGTCCTCACAAGTTCTTTGGTAACTATTTATTCATAAACTCCTGTTAAATATATATTAACATATTAGCAACATCAGTTTTCTAATTCGAACCTTCTGAAACAAAAAAAAAGACAGAGAAGGAAGTGACAGAGTGTTTAGTTCTAAATAATTCCTCTGACAAGTGAAATCTATTAATTATTTTGATATTTAGCCACACAGAGTATATATTTCAACCAACCAAATCTGGATCCAATTCAGCCAATAGTGAAGGCTGACCACTTTCAACTGCTTTCAAGCAAAGTATCAGAGCTTGAGTGTAGGATGGGGAACTGAGGAAGGCATTGTCTGAAAATGAAATAACTGATGATTGATCTTCTATACAGAACTATAAATAAGAGATATTTCAATAGTTTTTGAAAAAAATGTTCATTCACATAAAAAAAGGAATGACATGATACTGATGTTAGTTTTTAACTGCTTTTTAAATTTTGTTAGACATTTTTTAGCTTCATAACTCTTTTTTGCCAATTACACCTTTCAGATAGGAAGTATACCTGATTGATAAACTCCAGATAAAACCTTCATCAACTGAAGTATTTGCTTAATACTTCTCTATTAATGATGAAAGGTTTAACAGCTTAATAATTGTATTGATATACATATGTGCATAAACAGTTTAACTATCATGTATGCAGCAGTAAATAATCTGGGAAGATAAAATACTTTATGTAAATTAAGTTTTCATGGGAACTTAGGTTTAGAAATTCTTGCAAGTTTCCAAGCTAAATTTCAAGTTCAATACTAATTTCTATGTGACCAATATTACAAAAGCAGGCTTTCACAGTTTTAATCTAAACTGTTGTTTTTATTGGGCATTTTTTCACACACAGATATCAGTGAATTAAATAAAATTTTCATCTACTGCTAAATTTTCAGTGAACAAATTAAGTTTTTAGAATGTATGTATAATGTTGTTTGCAAAACAGATCCATATTCACAAAAACAAGCAGAATAAATACTATTTAACTTTCAAATCTAGGGCATTCTTTTAAGTTCTGTTAATTTCCCAGACACATCAAAATAGTTTTTTAAGGAATTTTCTCCCTGATGGTTTTACAAATAAACTGCCTTTATACAGAAACATTGGATTTGAAAGGAAAAATCCCTCAACTTTAAACACGATATACTGCACAAATGTTTTTTTTTTTAATTCAGACAATGATGTATCATATATGGCATAATACCATTCAATAAAAATTTATTGTATACATACGTTAAAAATTATAATAGATGTAAATCTCTAACAAACATATTTATATATGAAAAAAAGTATTTGTTTTTAAATCTCAAAACTTTTTACCTCTTTAGTCACTTCCGTTATAAATCAAATTAATACAAGACTTGTAAATACTGTATATTCAGATCTTTATATGAAATATTTTAATTAGAATTTTTGGATAAAAAAGTTATTTAGCTGAGTTATTATCTACAATTAATATGTAAGTACATATTAAAAATGAAAATATACGATATCAGTTAAAAATGGCTATCAATATGTATATTAACTACAATGATTACAAGTTTCCTGTACTCAACTTCTCATGAACCAAACTCATCTATAAAACTTAACGTCTCAGGTTCATACTAATTTGCATCATTTGTATGTAATACTGCTACAGAGTACATACTTACAAAATCAGAATGTTTCCTCAGTATTGGTATTTTCATACTAGACCATCTACAACATAACAAAAACTGACAACAATACCTGTACATTTAACCTTGTGCACTTTATACATATACAAAATTGTGTATGTACATTTACACACCAACATTATTATCAGAAGTATGCTGTAAAATTGACATGTTGAAATTCAGGTCTGTTTATGTATAGTGTTTCAACCCCACTTTCTTTAATCATCACTCACTGTGGAAACTTTGGGAAACTCTCAGCTCAAAGAGCAAGGTCACACAGAGATGAACTTGGAATGGCACATGAATAACAAGCACATCTTTAGGATCATATAATGTTTCGTGATCTTTTGACCCTACAAACGTTTTATAAATGCATAATATGTACGTGTTGTTAAGATACAGTTACAATGACAACTTGAATTATGTTATAGGTTTGGATATTTTGTTTAAGATTACCTATGTTTAGAAAATAATTTATTAAAATTGTTTTTGATTACTTTTTTTTTTCATACATTTCATACAATTTATCAAAGCATTTTTTTTATCACATTTGTCACCAAAACTACATTATAATATTATGGAACATAAAACTAAAATTCAAGTATATTCAAAAAATTACTGGAAGATAAAACTCACAACTTATCAACTTTTGAAAATTAAATTTAGTTCCTACGGGAAAGTTATAAAAAATCTGAAGTTTATAACCTAAATAAAAGTCCATAAAATAGAATATTTGGAATTTGTAATAGAGATTTTTATGTCAGTATGCACAATCACTACTACATGTAGTTGCCTTTCCAGTTACTCATTTATACTTTTGATTATTAGAATGGACAGAAGTAGGTCAAATTCCAAATTCCTTTATGTGGTGAAGCCAGTAGAGCTGATAAAAGAGTAAGATTGGCAGTTATTATAAAAACTGCATTTGGTCTCAAATCAATACAATGATCTCAAAAAGAAAAAGTTACAGTGGATAAAGAGATTACATAAATATCTAATAATAAGAGAACTAATTTACTTAGACAAAATAAAAATGAATCCTGTAAAAACCTTGTAATTTTTTGAAAGAAAAATTATGTTTTTATATTAGATACCAATGTATTAAGGTAATTTAATTAAATACATACAACTAAATAGGTATTGATGGGAGGAATCACGAAGATTATCTTACTGTATATTATAATTTTCCTAAAAAGCAAGTTTTAAAATGAAGCATTTTATTCAATGGTTAATGATTAGTACAAATGAGCAAATGTAATGTGTTATTTCAATTCAACTTATTTGTAATATGAAGATAAATTAATATTTCTACTCATAATTCTAGCTTCCACAAGTTATTTTTCAAAACCTTTATATTATTTTACATGCATAAAAATCTAATTATATCATTTAAGCTCTTAAATAACCAGGTGTGTCCATTCAATATACCTGTTGTATAGTTTGTTTTATTGTATTGCAAAAAATAGTAAATGGATGAATTCCTTTCAAACTTGAAATGAACCTTCAATAGATTATGCAACTTACACAAAAGATCTTATCTTTTTTTATATATGATATTAGTATGAATATCCAGCTTTGAAAAGTAAAAAAAAAGAAAAAAGATTTCATTGTGATATGTTTCTTTAAGAAATCATTAAAACAGGTTACCTTTGTTGTAGATTTTAATTAGTGACTTTGTGTCTTCACATACTGTTGTAAAACTTTACTATAGTTTTTATTCTATAAAACTAACCTTTGTCTTCGGTTTAATTTGAAAAACACAACACAGTTGCAGTGTGTTTACGATATATGGTGTACAACAGAAAACTTTTTTACCATACCAAAATTGTAATCAACCACACTTTTCTAATAACTAATCAGAAGGTTTCATTTAAGTTTAAAACCCATTTTATATAGATTGATATATATATATCAATTTCTTTATAGTAATCTTCTTTGGCCATTCAAGCAGTTACATAAGTTGATAAGGTCTAATATAATCATGACCTTGTCAACAAAACAAAACTTGACATAAGTGAGTGCAAAATGGTCTAACTGAACCTATCTAATCTTATTCCCTGAAAAACCTTCATAATTCATATGAAGTAGAAAATGATAAAGCAACTTTTTGCACTCTCCAAAATACATCATGTCTGTAAATGTGGCAGAAGTTGTCAATAAACATCTGTTATTCTAGCAACATATCATCAAACTTTTATTACTTTGTTCTGATATTTTTGCAAGTCTCTGCTGAACTGGAAGCCATACTGGCTTACACAGTTAAAAAGAACAGTAAAAGACATTTCATTAGATATTTATTAGATCACTAACCTACAGCTTCTTGAAGCTGAAGTATAGGCAATTACATCATACCAAGACAACCAAGGTTTGCTAAAATTGATAGAAGTACACTTATATCAAGTTGGCACTATTTTGTTCAAAACTATTTCAACTTCTTCCTAATGGGATATGCTTGTTTGCTGTTAAACACAAAACTACACAGACTATCTGTGCTTTGCCAACTGCAAATATCAAAACTCAACTTTCAGCATTATAAGCCTTCAGACTACTGCTACATCATGCCCAGAAAAAAAAAATTAGTAAATTAGGAAAAAGTTATATTTTTTTTTCAGAGCACACTGAAATCATCCCAAGATATACAAAATTAAATGAACAAAACTTTCTTATCAAGTCAATTTCAACTCTTGAAATTTTTTAATTGGTTGGAAGAATGACAAAACTTTATGTTTTATAATTCAAGGATATGATTTTGCCCTCAGAGAAGACCTTTAGAGTTAAGATATTTTAAGTATAATAAATAAATATGTCAAATTATTGTTCACTAGAAGTTATTTAAAATATCTATTACTATGTATCAAATATATTTTCTGTTTCTTTCGTATTTTCCCTTGTATTTAAGCCTCCACTGAAAATTATACCTTGGTATATATATATATGATGTATATATATATATATATACAATAACAATACATGCTTTCAATTATAAATGCAAACAGGTTACTGCTGTTTATTCAAAAATTTCTGTCATATTACTTTACATTTCAGATACTATTGTATCAAGACAATCAAAATTTTTACAAGTACACCAGCATTTTAAAATAAAGATGAAGACTGCAGATACATTGAAAAACATTTTTATTCACAAAAGTTTCAAACATTTCAGAATACTTATTCCATCTTCAGCAAAATGTGGAAATAATATTATAATCAATTTTATTATTGACTATTTCATGTCACACATGGACTACTGACAGTGGTGTACATTTCAAACATTTGTCATATTAGACTGATTCAAGGATTGGGCAAATACAGTGTAACCATGAAGGTAATGTCTTATGTTACCTGTAGTTTTGTTTTCCTTTTCTTTAGCTATAGTTTATTCTGTATGACTAAAACCTTGAACAAAAAAGTTAGCATATAAAGTCACATTTAAATCAACAACAAACCTCTTGAACAATCTACTCCAAACATTAACAAGTTAGGCATTTGAGTTACCTTAATTATACAGAATAACACTAATGAAGACTTCTTTTAATTTTCTTTTCAATTTCAAAGCTTAGACCAGAAAGTAGTTTGGAACTTTCTAATAAATGTACTGTAAGAAAGGATAAAAATAATTATTATTTTCGAATAAATACTTAAGACTGTGCTTTGAAAAATATCAAATGAAAGTAAATGTCAGAACAAGCTTGAGTCCATACCTTCATAATACTTTGAGACAAGTTCTTTCTCTTCAACCAAGATTTCTAACTGTGAAGCTAGGGTATACTGTTGAAGACTATGCCGAAGCCAAAGGTGAGCTCTGGTTAGTGATTCTTGAGAATTAGTTACTTCGTTCTTCAAATGTAACTTTTCTGACAATACACAGGGGGCAAGTGTTGGCTTTAAGCTTTTTATGTTAAGAATGAAATCCAAATAGCTCCCTGATCCCTAAAGAGATTAGCAATAAGTAATCTCTAAGTAATAAAAAAAATTCTGAAATTTGTATTTATCAGCTTGATAATACAAATAATGTTAACAAATTAAAACCTTCTCCAGATAATAAAAATGACCATCAAGTAGTTTTTCATAAAATTCCCAAAGACTGAGTTATTCACCTAGAAAAACTGAATGGACACACAAGTTCAACTGTATAAAAAAAACTACCTCAGAATCATTTTTAAACATGTTTTTTAAACTTGTGTAAAAAGCAAAGGAAATAAATGTTTGCTATACTCATTAATTTATCAACCAGTCACTTGTCCTAGTCTGTGTTAAAAATCATTAAAAAGTTATTTCCCATAATACTTTTAACCAAAAGGTAATATCATAACTGAATTTAATGAGGTGATTCTTTTACAGCATGAAAGTTAGTCTGGTTTTCTGTTAATTTATTAATTACACTGATCATTAGCAAAACCAGTCACAAATATGCCTAATAATGAGAAAATTACCTGAGAAAGTTTAATTTCATGAGAGAGTACTCCTTCAACAGCAGCACAGAGACGTGATAGGCCTCCATAAGTATTCCATACATTGGTGCTACAGCTTGCTAATAATCCTTCAACAGTATCTTTTACAGATAACAACAACTGGAGTTTCTCATCTTCAGGATTACTATGATCCATGATGTTAAAACAGATTACAGAACCTCAGATTCTATTTTTAATTTATCACAACAGAAATATGACAGTATTCAATTATCATTCTGTTTTCATTTCACATGTCATTATATGTCCCAGAAACCAGGAGTGAAAAACAATGTTTAGATTTACATGTACATACATAAGACATTTCACTAACTTTAAACTTTTCATATAATGATATATTATTACAAAAGATATGATCAATATGATTTAATTATACTAACACACTCTCCTGCCATTTCAGTTTTATCTGGTAATACAAAATCTGGAAACAAATACAATGAATATATCCATACCCATTACAAAATGTATTCATTCTTTTAAAGATAAAAAAACAAACTAAACAAAATTGTATTTAGAATAAAAAACAATAACTGTGTATATGCCACTGTCAGACAAACAAATAATTTTAAGAAGCATCACGTATACTGAAGATAAGATGGGAAAAGAAGATAAGGTATGATATATTTGTAATGTAGTTTCTTTCTTAACTTCATATTTTAAGTCCTTAAGTAGAAAGTAGGGATTCAATAATGCATACAGTTAAAAAAAATGTATGAAAGAAATTTAACTGATAAAAATCTTCGTTTCCCATGTATAGACGTTAAAGTAATATTAGAAAACACACATTTTCATTAGATAAAAGTGTAAAAACTGGCTCAAAGTAACAACTTGCAAACAACAAGCTCTTTATATTTTCTTATTTTAAAGAGTTAGGGTAAGTGTTTGAAAAGATCTTAATGACTGAACTAAAATGACAGTGGGGAGGAAGAGTGGGAAGTGTGAATGGAAGTAAATACCTGTTGGAAATATATTTTAAGTGTAGAAAAATCATAACTTCTGACAAGGTACCTTACTTCTGCTCACATACATAACTAGAATCCCACATTGAATAGGTGGAGTGACCAGTGCAAGAGAGAAAATAGCAGCATCCTTTGAAAGCATCATAGGACACCCTCATGAGGGAATCCTCTAATAACAGGATTATACATGGGAGACTGCAACACTTCTGTACCAGGTATACTCTCTGCCCAGATGCAGAAAATTATGAGAGAGAAAATGGTTGGACAGTGACACTAACCACAATATATTATAATTTCAATCTCCCTGATGAACAGAATGTGGGTAAAATAAAGGATGTGCCCCAAGGAGTAGAGTGGCTAGGGCACAATGAACTGTACACAGCAAGTCAACTGCGGCCAAAACTCGACCCTCGGGAACTGACATCCATGCAGGAGTAGGAAATATTGTCTTCACCTAAAACTCAGCTGACCAGAGGGAGAAATCTCACTACAAATCAGTGAACAGGACACATATAAGCAGAGCAAAATACAAATATATCCCACTTTAATGAAACCAACCGAACCACCTAAAACACAGTAATATCCTCGGCATAAAGACTTCGAGGGTTAGCGCAATAGGAAGAAGTGAAGCAACCAACAAGTGTACCCACTGTGACCCTCAAGACTAGGGCAGCATACCCGAGGTGAAATAAGTGAGGTACCACTCACCCCCTGAACATATGTGTGAGGACTTATGATGATTGGTTCAACTCAAAATCCAAAAGATAACTGCTGGTAACCAACTTCCATATGGGGGTAAGATGAGGGATCCCAATCGAACGTGTGTTTTCTTATAGCTATCTGCTGTGTCCACCAAGGGGAATCAAACCTCTGATTTTAGCATTGTATATCTGAAGACATACTGATGTTTCACCGGAGGATGATCCCAATCAAAGGGTTGAATTGCATGTATGCCAGCACATCACATGTGTGAGTACATCATGTTGATTGGTTCAGCTCTAAATCTAAAACTCAACTGCTGGGAACTAACATCCATGCGGGGGTAGGATGAAGGATCCCAAATGCACAACATGTGTGAGGACATATTGTGATTGGTTCTGCTCTAAATTCAAAACGCAACTGCAGAGAACTAACATCCATGTAGGAGTATGATGAGGGATCCCAATCATGATGACTCTCAAGTGAATGGAGTTCATTATTGTTTATGTTGTATATCTCTCATTCAGGAGGATACTTCTCGTGTCTACCACCCCTTGGAACTAGAAAGTGGTAAGGACTTTCTTACTCTACTGGAAGAAACAGGGGGAGAAAAACACAGTGGAGAGTCCAGAGAAATATTCACACCGGAGAGAGTACAATGGGTGACCACTAAACCCTATTTTGAAAAGCAGATTAAACCAAATTTATTCAATCTAAGAAATGACAGGTATGGGCAGAATCCCTATATGCTTTACCCATGAAATCAATGGTTCAGTACAGTCAGGAACAGGGAATATTTATGAAGCAAAGATATCACAAGGAATAACCTACAAACGATCCTCTGGAACACCCCATCTCTAGCATATGTGATAGTAAAGAACAGTGTGCATTTAATGGCCATGAAAATTATGAAAGTGAAGTCAACATGGCCTTACAGTGCAGATTTGAGTATAATACTAAGTGACTGAAGTATACCTGGACAGGCAGCATTCACCACAGAGCTGGATTCAGATTGAATCATGGGACAAGCCCCTGAAAAATATATATATATAATGAAAGAAAGAAAACTTACCCAGTTATAGTCATACCAAAGTCTGAAAAATGGCAACAGGTGGAAGACAATAACTCCATGAGGAAGAAACAGCAACATGATGCAGAAAGTGAGAGATGAAAGTATGTGGAGTGGTTCACATGCCCACTTGAAGAATTTCCTCCAAAGGACAACACAGAGGAGACACCAGGGAAAAAATAAGGTGCCTAATCTAATGGAAAGACACCCAGAATAACAGATGGGAAAAAGGAGACATGGAAGGATGAGCCAATCGATTTAAATGCCAAACCCAATTGGTAAGGATGGAAGGAGAAAGATCATGAACAGAGGATAGTTGCTAAGGGAACAGTTATGATGGAAGGAAGCTGTGCGGGCAATATAATAATGAATAACATGAACTGGACATAGATGTATATCTGGATTAGACATAGAATAGAATTGGGAAATGGAAGGAAAAGAAATTGGCTAGAAGGAGGAATTACCCTCCCAAGCCACTGAAGTATAGGGAATGAAAGTTCAATCTTGGTAATGAAGAAGATAAGAGAAATGCTACAGAATATGTGAAATCTCGATAGCAAATAAATCCACCTGACAATGACCACAGGCCAAAAGGAGGAGGAAATAAATGACCACAGGCCAAAAGGAGGAGGAAATAAGGGATAAATGAAACAAGAAGAGAAAGGTTCAAATGAAGGTAAAATAAGGCATTAAAGCACCACATTGACATCCTAATCCAGAAGGGTTGCATGCCATGGAGGTCAACTAATCTGGAAGGAACATAAAGAGTGATAAGGTATGGGAGACAAAAATTTTATGGTACCAGGAATAATGAAAAGTGTGGGATAAGGCCACTCAATAACCCATGATCGAGGATACAGAAGACCCCTGATCAAATAACCAAGTGAAGAAATCTATAATAAGAGGAACAATGGGATGAGCAGGTGAGAACCCACGACCCAAAGACCAATGTCAGAAAATGTTTCACTTACATTAATAAACTTCCATAGAAGAACATTGAATGGAATGTGCCAATATTGAAGATATTCACCATGATAAACTGGATCTCCTTACAAGGATAAAAAACAGGCATGAAGATGAAGGGTAGGAATGGCAGGATGAACTACCTGGGACCAAGGTTGCCATAGAAGGGATGGAGTTCTGGGAAGAGGCAAAGGTGGAGCAGGTTGGATTTGAAGCAGCCTCAAAAACCACAGCTGGGCCAGCAAGTAAAGGGCAATCAGAAGGACTTGACACAGAGCAGAGTGGATGACATAAATCACCCTGGGAAGGAGTCGGATAGGAGGATACACGTAATGGAATTTGTCTATCCAAACCTGACTGAATGCATCTACAACACTGGAGACAAAAACAGAGGATTGTGGCAAATGCATCCAGGTGCAGAGTACCCATCCAAATGCATAGCCATTGGAAAACTTGAAGATCTAGAGACCATTCCAATAAATAAATTTATCTGGTCAGGAAATATGATCTATGTCAAGGTTGAAAGCACTCAGAACATGACACACAATTAGGTGAATACTGTGCATGTGCACCCAAAAAAAGAGATCCAACATTCAACAACAAAGGGAACAATGTGCCTCCCTGGTGATTGATATATGCCACCACTGTAGAATTGTCTGTATGAATCATAACCAGACAACCACTGGCAAGATGAAGAAAATGATCCAAATCTTGATGGACAGCAAAAACCTCCTGGATATTAATATGGTAAGACTGTTTGGTTACAGTCTACTGACCTGAAGCAACTTGAAGTGAAGAGTCTGTGAAATTACGTAAATCTGGGCAAGGGAAAAGAAGCAGATCCTCCATAAGGAAAGAAAGAAAGGCACTAGGAATATCCAAGGGATCCCACACAAGGTTCCATTGGTTGTGAAGAATCCATTAAAAATATCTCACATGAGCATGACCTTTGAGGATAAGTGCTGCCATAGAGGACTACATCCTCAAATGAGATAGAACCTTGGAGGCAGTAATAAAGGGAGCAGTAAGGCATTGATGACTGGCAGCTCCTTCGCACAGAGTCAAAAAGGAGAAGGTTGGGCCTGACTGAGATAAGTGTCGAACAAAACACCCATATGGATAAGTTATTGGATAAGAACAAGAAACAATTTCTCCAACTTGATCAACCAACTGACCCAAGTCACCTCCATAAGAAGCAGATGAGTGTGTCATGTAGACTACAGTTCAGAATGAGCCAACAGAAGCCAGTCATCCTTGTAATGGTGGAAGCACAACCCTTGAGACTGGCAAAAGCCTTGATACTGACAAAAGGCATACAGTACAGTAGCAAGCCCAAAAGGTAGAGCGCAAACTTGATAAACCACCTCGTGATGAACAAACTGAAGATAGCATCTCGATTGCTGTGATATAGGAATATGGAGATCAGCATTCCAGACATTGACCTTGGTCATCCATAAGCCTAGAGAAAAAGCTCATCTGGGGGAGTGAAACAACTCCATAGTAAAACAAGTTAGCACCAAGAAGCGATTGAGCCATGACAAATCAATCATAGGCCATCAGTCTACAGTTTTCTTGGGGACAAAAACAGCCTGGAATGAAATCCTAAGGAAGGGTGAACCACAGGTTCAATGGCACTCTGAAGAAGATCCTGTACTGCCTCAAACAGATGCTGATGTGTGGTAAATGAGCCCCCACCAGACCAGAACCCACAGAGTAGTCACCAATACTGTAACAGCATGACAATTAGCATTTAATAAAACAAAAAGAAGATCCCTAGTGGAAGGAAAGGGTAAGGGATGGGAAGAATTAGGATGGGGAACAGAAATAGGGATGGTTGAGGTGCCATGCAAGACAAATAATCAAATAATGGGGAAAGAATTAATTGCTGTCTTACAGGTTCCACTCATGATTCCAAAGTCGCTGGAAGATCTCCAAACTCCAAGCAATGGAGAAAAGAAGACATACGTAAGTCCCTAAGATAAGAAGATGGAACACAAATGTGGTATAAAACAGTGTCTTTTCCCAAAAAATCCCAACAACAGAGCAATCGTGTGTGTAAAGAAAGTGCCAAAGCCAACAAGGATGTAATTAAGGCAAATGTATCCCCCCCCAAAAAAAAAACCCTCAGGATCTCAGTGTATAGTGGAAAAGTACCATAATATAGATGTGAAGGCAAGTGAATTGGGCGTGGGACAAAAGAACAGGACAAAACGGTCTGCCTCTCAAGTGGGTAAAATGGATTCCAGTTGCTGAGAATCTAGGAATGGAAAATCAGCCTGATGGTAGGCTAAAGAAAACTGACCTGACACCAGCGGAGAGAGAGGCATGCCAGCACCCTCAAGTAACTGACATACAAAATGCTCAACATGAACCCCAATATCATGAGATGGTGGAAACACAAAATACTGAGAAGAAGAAGAAGGATCACGTAACAAGGACGGTAGAGGATTATATGAAATGAGGGAAAGGGATAAAACATGTGTCCAAAAAAGTTGTGATAGGCCTAACAAAACCCACATTAGGAACTTGGGAAGACACAGCAAATTCAGGTGGAAGAAAAAGGCTGTCAAATGCTTTGGTGTACTGAACAGATTTGGCTTGTTCAGGAGGAAGTTAGGCAACATCAGGAGAAGAAGTTTGGTTCAAATAATCTCTCGTCAAATAATTGCCGATAATTCCAAAGTTGAGATCCTCCACCTGAAGCCTGTTTAAATGTGCTGGTAGAAGGTACAACCTCCAATGTGGTAACTTACACTTCAGAATTCATAATGGAATTGAAAAGCAAACAGAACTGTTTTGGTAAAGAAAGAAATGCACAGAAAAGTTACTAATTTCTTTAACTTGATAGAAAATTAAATAATACCACAACTGAATGAGGTACAAATTAAAACTAGATAAAATAAGTAAGAAAATTGAAAAATAGTCGCTATAAAAATTCAAGTCAAAGAGAGCACTAAATAAAACATCCAAACAAGAAGTGATAGTTAGGTACAATAGCACAGAGGGAGTCACATGAGTCACGTGTGTGTGGGTCACATCTATTGATGGAGGTTTGTCTCATGCAAGATTCAGTTAAACCATATTAACCAAGGGGTACATGGGAGTGAAAGGCTTGTGACATGCAAAAAAATGTTGCAAATAGAGGGCAGTACTGAATATGAATAGCTATGTGAGCAGAAGTATGATACCTTGTCAGAATTTCATTTATTAGAAAAAATAAATAATTAAATGACAATATAGATAAATTGAATTCTCAGATCATGCTTTATACATAGAAGCTCATAACAAACTCTGTCTAAGTTCTTTACTAATTCCCTTTATATTTTGTAATATAACTAATACAATTATAGCTTACCTTTCTTTGTCATTGTTTGTGTATTCATAATTTCCAAACCGATTCTTTCTCGCCATTCCCTACTTGATTAATTATTTCTGTTAATAGATCATGTAATTAATATACTTTCCTACCTAAATAAGAGTAAGATGTATATATTAAGCCTAATGAAGCATTCTCAGAATGTATTAACTAAAGCAATACACATATATCTAATTTACACACCATTAAAGTTAAAAAATGCTGTACAAGTTTTAAAATACTAGAATTGTTATTTATTATTCTAAGAGTGCAGTTATCATGAGGCAGTTAACTAGCTAAAAAATGTTCTTTTTTTGAAGCCTAAGTTACCCCTTTGTCTCTTTGGTTAACCACTGTAGTCTGCTTTTAATCAGGCCAATGTCAGCTGTAGAGCAACAGAAAACTTCATGTTAAAGAATTATATTTCTCCATAGGCATCTAACACATACAGTAGAAGGGCACATCCTTCCCACACTTTTTCCAGTTAGTGTACATACATTATTATCAACAACTATATTAGATTGACTTAGCTTTCCACTTTCCAGTAAATTATGTATTCCTGGGGAGGGAGGGACATTCAATGTTAATGTGAAGTTTTGTTACATGTAATTTTAAATATACTGCATCATATTGTTTCAAAATACTTTAGACATAGCCAACAGTGTACCAGTGCTACAGATAAGGGGTTTACTAGCATAATTTCTCATCAGAAATCAACCATTTATAGCCTTAAAAAATATTGAGAAGTTGTTTTACTGATAAAAAAATTACTACAGCTCCTGCAACTTTTAATTATAACTATATTTGGTGATATAATTTGCTAAATTAATCCTATGTCAAATTTCTTCTTTTAAAATAATAAAATAATTCACAATTAGTTAAATTACTTTATATCACAAAATGTTACTGCTGCACTTTATAAAAAATTCAAAATTACTCCTGCCAACAGAAATCTGGTAGTGATTACTCCTTACAGAAAAAAATATAAGGAGCACTGATGTAAATGTACTAGGTAAAATTGTTAGGAAAATAAATCGAATCGTATATGGAAATTAAACTTGATTATCTTTATCATAAACTGCGGGTAGTATTTATGCATTATTATTGTGATATAAAGTACACTACAAAAATAGGGGGGAGGGGTGAAAGGAGTATGAGGCCATAAAGTTCAAATGTAAACTTAAAACAGAAACTAAATGTATATTTTATTACCTTTATAAATCTTAAAATCAATATTAAATGCAATGCTTTATTTTGCCTTCTTTGCAAAGAATTCTTTAATTTGAAAAGGAAAACCTATACAACAACCAGACAGCTGTTAAAATGTTTGACACTAGTTGGTGGCCAGACATCTATCACATCCCTAATGAGGCTACAGGTATTTAATTAGGTCTGTTCAAGAGTTGAAAAAAATAATGTATGCATATCCTTATCAATTAATTTTATATATACATGATACATTTTTAATATGGAAACAACATTTGGGAATACTAAGGTTACCAAAATTCCTTCAAAAATTAGAATTATTCTGGTTAGTATCAGCTTGTCCCAGCATTCATGAAGCTATTAAAAGTCACTGACATAAATGCTAAAAACAAATGTTGTAACCATATCTCTGAATGATTCCACTAATCGCATTTTTAAAATGCCCATTTGTCTCCACTCTTTGCTTTCCACCTTTTTCTAACAACTTAAATGTAGCCAACTTACTAATTAATCTTTTGTGAAACTCTTTATCAAAAGCTTTCTGAAGGTTAATATGAAATCATCTACTAGAGTACCCTGATCCCAAAAAGTAAAGACCTATCAAAAGGAGCCATTTGAACTATCAAGGCTATCCCATTTTCTACTACACCCCTACTTCAAATCCCTTCACTTACATTTAACCTTAATCTCTGCAATATTCATTCAATCTCCTCTTAAAGCTCTTCACTGTTACAGCTTCTACCATACCTGAAGGCTAAAGCCAAAGTACTCTCTACACTGACTATTCTATTATAAAAGTGACACTGTGTTAAATGTCTGAATTTTCCGTATCTTCAATTTATGTCCTCTAGTTTTACTGCCTGCATATATTTGTAAAACATCATCTTGTTTTATGGATTCCAACTATCTAACAATTATAAAAACCTCAATCATGTCTCCACAAGACCTTCTCCTCTCCAGCAAAAACAGGATTAGGCTTCATATTACCCCCATACAATAAACCTTCCAAACCCAGAATCATCTTGGTAGCTGTTCTCTGAATCCTCTACAAGAACTCAACTGTTCTCCAAAAGCAAAATAATAATATTTTAATCAAATACTCGTCTTTCCAATGCTTTTCTAGAGATATCTGGAAATATGGCAGGTTCCAACACCTTGCTAGCAACAGAAGGCCTATACAAGTTTCCTGGACTCTCTAAAGTCTAAACCCTAGTTCTTTTAAGAAAAGGTTGCACTGGAAATCTTCCAGTCATCAGGATTATCTTCATTATTAAAAGACTTCAAAATTGAAGTGAAAGCTTCTACTAATTATTTGCAAAATAATTTATAAATTTTGGATAAATCTCTCCAGGGCTAACATTTTTATCCATAAGATGAATAAGTTTATCATGTTTTTCTATCAATATAAATACAATTTAATGAAAAATTCCTTCCCATCTTTCAAGAAATTGAGATATTCTTCTCCATTTAAAAAAAACATTACTACAACAGTAATGTTTCCTTTCTCCAAAATAAGAATCCATTTAAGTCTCTTAAAAAATAATTATTTTTTCTTTTCTACAGTTAACAGTTAAGCTTAGCACTATCATTTTAATGCACTTGTTGCATACTTTGCTTTATTGAAAAAACAAAACAACTACTGGATGAAATAGTTTGAGACTTCAGAATTACTTTTTACAGCTTATATATTTTGTATGAATTTGCAGTTTTGATATTTCAAACATATTTCAGTATGATACATTTTTTTAAGAAACTATTAAAAATCCTTTCCTTTGTTGTAGATTTTAATTGCTAATTTTTATATGTTCTTACACTCTTTTAAAACTTTCCTATAAATTCCTAGTTTTGATTAAAACAAAAAATTTATGCAATTTTACTGTGTATATAATCACTGGAAAACAATAAAAATAACTTTACCATACCATAATTATAACCAAACTGACTGTTTTTTAAAAGTCAATCAGAAGGTTTTATTTTAATATAACTAATAAATTCCAAGTCCACTTCACACATTGATATATATATATATATTTTTTATTTTATTTTTTTTTCATTTGTTTATGGTGATTTTATTTGCCCATCTAAGTAGATACTTGGATACAGGTAAATTCAGGAAATTCACAAACACTAATGATTTCATCAGAATCAACCCAAAATCAAAAACTTACAATTTTCTTTGGAAATTTTTATGTATAAAATAAATCTTTTTTATTGAATAAATCTCAACTCTGAAGTATTTTAATTTTTTTAACAGGTGGAAAAACAACTACAAGTTTTGAGATTTTTTCCTTGTAAGTCTATCATGCATGCCTTTTTGTGTATTTTTATATTTGCACAGCCTTAGCAGTCAATAGTAAAGGTCTTAAAGCATTGTTTGAACTGAATCTTTAATATTTCAGGTGTTTTTTGGCCTGAATGTTCTATTAGGATTTTGTGATACAAATAACAGAAGTATCTAAATTGACATTGTAGTGCACAGCTCAGTGTCAAGATACTTTTACTGACTGGAAGATTTCAACATGTTTAATGAGTAGGGGATATAGCATTCATTGTTACAGCATTATGAAATAAGAATCTTGAATGTTCATTCTCTCAGAAGAGCTAGATTTCCAAATCCAGCCTGATGCATAAATTTTCAGGCTCTGCAGCTAACACTATACATGCATTCAAAAAAATAACATTGGGAAAATGATGATTAACGTTATCCATCCATTCATGAGAAATTGCCACCTTTTAGGTCATATCCTCAGGTGTTTTTGTCAAAAATTTCACACATTTAACCAAACAATCAATTTAACATTTTAACTGTTAAAAAAAAAATTACATCTTCTAACTAACGGGCCTTCGGAGTAATGGGCCCTTGGACTAACAGACCGTTACCACTGATACAACAATGAGTAATATCAACAACAATTAATAATCTCTCCACAATCAAAATTTTAATTTGAGCAGCTTATTTCAGGAATGTCTAACATTAACATAGAAATTAATCTTATTTTTAACTCCCTTTCAGTACAGCTAATATACTTGCCTCATGCCTTGTCGATTACAAAATAAGATACCCAAGTCTGATTTCTTCATGTCTACTTAAACTTAGTTTAAAGAGACGAGACTGAAGAATGTATTGCTTATTTAAGGTATTACTGGAAAGTCACAAGATGTTCCTTTTCACTTTAATGCAGACCTTTAAGTTTTGGGGTGTTAGTTTTACATACAAATTCTTATGTGTAAAGAGGTGATTACTGAAATCTTTAGAGTGAAATAATAAATTAACTCATAAGAAAAATTGCTCCTAGTACTGTTTGGTAGGTGTTAAGTTTTAGTCAGTGTTTTACCCAGGGTTTTAGATTATATCAAAAATCAGATATGCAGGTCTCTCATTTTTGATAGGTCAATATAAAGTGAGCATGTACCTGAGGATTGGAGAGTTTGGTAATGTGACTTTATTTTTAAAGGTGGGGATGACAAAAGTTGCTCTGGGAATTATTCACAATTCAAATCGAATGCAGATGTCACTACCAGAACTCCCAACATGGCGAACACATAAAGAATAAAGTGCTACCTAACACTTACTATTAGTAGCTTGTGTTTGTCTTGTTTTTGTTTTTGATATTGTGCAAAGCTACATGAGGGCTATCTGCGCTACCCGTCCCCTAATTTA